CACATCTGGCTAGCAAAGGTCAGAGAATGTTCCAAATCATAATAACTAAGGCTCCAGCTCAACTTTACAGCTTTTTCCGATAGTGTCTGAGAATGAATAACTCTTCAGTAGTGTATTACCATCATATAAAGCAAACAGAATCATAGAACTTTATGTAGAGAAAATAATGGCATTCTCTGCCACCCTGAAACAGGATTTTCTATCCTCTAGTCTGAAATCTCAGAGCCATCTGAAACCCCCCCAAATGGTAGTATTGTCTCTTCCCATTCTGTGCAAAGTTCTGAGAGAAGCCTCTGCCCTCATGTCAAATCCATTGAGGCAGCACTGTGAACAGGGAATATGCTGTTTTTCACTCAACTGGTTTTGTTTTATCTACATGAGCTCTGAGATTGAGTCTACTGAAGAAAGATGAAATTGAAGCTGCCTTTGCAATCTGAATAGGGGAACTGGTTGAACATAAGAAAAGTGGCTGCTGTGGAGTAGACCAAAGGTCCTCCTATGACAGAATGCTGACTCTGATAGTGAGTGCATGGTGAGCCAAGAAGAAAAGAATAAGCAAGCAGACTGATACACTCCCCAAATACTGCCTCCCATTTACCAAATATTTGCAGTTCAGGAACATCCCCAGTCAGACAGTTTTTGTAGGTTTAGTATCTTTCCTCATCTTTCTCTTGCATGAATTTTCATTTTACTGGTAAACCCATGTAAACTTTATGACCCACAGCAACCTTTGAGAGGAAGTTCAGCAACTCAGCTGCTACTCCTGACTTCACTGAGCTTTGTCATTTCCCTTCTAGTCTGAGGGCTATTTTACTTAGAGATTCTTTAGCTGTAATTCCAAACCTTTCATTTTCCTTGCTACCCTAATCTGCAAATTTTCTAGTTCTATTATATTAGTTTTCTGTTGTTCTACTCTTTTCCCAATAGTATAATTTGATTTGCTTCTTTAATCTCCAGGAAGCATAAGATGGTATTTTTATGAACTTGTCTACTGTACTGCTAAGATCCTGTCTCTGAATAGGGGTTATCAGCTCAGAGCATGTAATTTAAGATACCAATTCGTATTTTTTTAACCAAGTGTATCACTTTATCTACTTTGAATTCCTCTTCATTCAATCTTAAGAAATCCTTCTACAGTTCTTCATAGCCATCTGTTTTTCTTATTCCTCTGAATATCTCAGTATTATAGCAAATGTTGTTATCTTACTGTTCACTCCTTTTTCCAGGTCCCTTATGCACCTACTGAACTTCCTAGGCCTCCTGGAACTCTTTCCCCCTTGTCACTTGTTGGCCCTTTGGATTTTATTGTAGCCTATAAGCTAAATTGTCCTAGCTGATGTCACTTGGCATGTGCAACTGAGAAAAAGCTTTCCTTGCACCCTAAAGCTTCATGTAGCAGGAAGCACAATTACAGGTGTAATTGGAAAGGTGCACAGATAGTCAAGTCAGGTGTCTTTTTTTGAGACAGGGAGGCTATCTCAAGATAACCAATATTTGATCACATTGACAGTTTTCAGCAGTGGAATCCATATAGCAAAGATAGTAATCTCCCCCCATTGATAAGAATTACTGAAAATAAAATTTGGCAGCATAAATTTTGACAAATACGAGGCTAGGGATATTTGCTCTGAGGGAAGATGTAGTGGGAGGTAGGGAGGGATCTTATTTCGTGTTGCATAAGGGCAGATTCGGTTAGTTATTCTGTGAATTCCTGCAGTAGAGTCCACCACTCAATCTTCATTGTATGTAAGTGTTTTCTCATGAAGTGTTCAATCCTTAGTCCCTGTGACAGACCATACACATTAAGTTTAAAAAGGAGAATGAAAAGATTAGATTCCAGATTTAGTTTTTTGAAGAGGACCTTGTGGCAGTTAGGTGATTCTTCTGATTGTCCTGGATGTAATTAATGATGGTTTTGGAATCCCAGAGCTCAGCAGTACTACTACCTTTCCTTTCTATCCCTGCTGCACTGTCTGAGATGACCATTTAGGACATCCCTTTCACAGCTAGTGATGGAGGGGAAAAAATCCAAACCTATGTCAAACAGTGTGTTTTGTGGTCAGTCTTTATGACTGTAGGTCAGTTGAGGAGAACAATGAAGTTGAGTGTAAGAGAAATAGTATTAAGTTCTTCTATAGAAAAAATATTTTAAAACCTTCAGAAAAAACTGAGCCTCTTCCAGTTTTGAACAAAATATTTTATTCCAATGCTCTGCATTATTTCTAAAATATTTTAGAGAAAATACTTACTGAATGCCATAAATAATACATCTTTCTGAGACAGATTTAAAATAGCAAGTGTTACATAAAGGTGTGTGCAAAACCAAAAATGGCTGAAGGGATTGATCAGAGCAGAAATGGAAGAGAGTATCTGTAGGATACAAACATTTACAAGAAAAGGTCTGACAAATGAATTATTTAAAGTGTATTGCCTGGACCTTTCCGTTAATTTTTAAAATATTTTTCACCAGGTTAAACACAAGAATAAGCAAGACAAACTGGAAATATCAAACTTCATTGATAAAGGCAATATCACGTAATTCTTTCAATAGGCAATAGTATATATGCAATGATGAGAGATAGGAAAACTCAATGTGTAAATATATCTGTCCTCCATTAGTAACAGCAAAGAGCTGTATTAATTCAAAAGCAACCTGGGTCAGTCCAACATGCCACATCCTTCCAATGTCCTGCTACTTTCCATGGAACAAATATTCTGGTTTAATGTAAAAAGAGGTTTGAAATAATTGATCCATGTTACTTTAAAAGCACTTTTAATGTAAATGTTGATTTAGCCTTTCCTGTCTTTCTGAAAAAAGAATATGATTCAAGCTTGAATGTTCTTTTCCACTGGTACACTGCTATCTGTGAAGTATGTAGCATAAATGTTAGAACTTGATTGTCTTAGCTGCTGCTAAGATACTAAGGGCACTCAGGAAACCTTTTTTCCCTTTAATATTCCAGTATCAGAAGGGTGGCAGAACCTGGGGGTGGGGTTGCATTTCAACGTAATGTTGCTATGGGACTCTCCAGCACAGCCAGAGCATCACAAGTGCAGCTGTTTTAAAAGTAGGGACCTTTGCTGATCTGCACACTTAAGAAGCTATGTTTATGTTTCTGATTTAATACTGGGTGAGTCCAAATTGCAGAAGGGGAGGTCATAAATCATTATTGGTTTCAAAGTTTGCTGAGAACAAACAAAAAAATGGAAGCATGCCCCTCCCCCAGAATAAGCAGCTAAATTAATCTATAATTCAATATTGTAGGTTTTTTTATGGCATTAACAATGACGGATTAATTATTTTGTATAAGACCATCTCATGGAAATGGTGAATCTAGGCCCTTGTTTCTGCCCACTGAAGCAGTCTTTGTTTATAATCAGAAATACAGAATCAAACTGAGTTTGAATTAGAGCATGTGCATGGCATTTGCAATCATTCAGTTTCCAGCTGTAGTAACTAGCAGTTTGAAGGGCTTAACCATTCTGGTTTTTTGAATACTACTAACCCACATTATAAAAGAACTGACAATTGTCTGTGCACCTTAATTATAGTTCCTCAAAGACTATAATTCCATTAAAACCAGTATAGATGTTACAAAATGATTTTTGCAATACCTGCTTGAAGGCAAATATTCATGCAGTGTTCTCCATTCTTACGGCAAGGCTTTCAGATAGCTGAGTGAAATGACCAGTGGTAATCTTGGTAGCAGTCTTACAGAGCTAGTCTGTACAGTTGGCTGTGAACAGATCTGATCCTCCTGGCACTCAGGCCACACAAGTGTTGACAAACCAGCTGGGCAGAGTGGCTCCTACCCTGAGTCCTGATGTCTGCAGGAGGAGTAGAGAGGCAGGCCCCAGTTCATTTGTTTGTGGTGTATGAATGAACTGAGCACAGCCAAGCTATATCTTGGTCTGGCCCCATTTAGCAGCAGGTATGGCAGAAGGATGATTTAGTGCTTCACTGGAGCAAAAGACCAGAGCAAATAAGTTGTTTCTTGTATCTGAGCTTGGATTTCTTTAAGCACAGTGTGGAAAGTATGTGCCCGAGTTAGACAGAGGCTGTGGCCAAACAGAAGCAAACCATGTGATTTGTGTAGTTGTACTGCAGACATTATAGAAGTCAGATAACAGATCTCACTACAAGGCAGATGTTCTTAAAACATGTTGGAGGAGCTACAGGTCAGCTTTCAATTCAGCAACTGTATGGCATAAAGTAACCTGAAGGGGTGATCCACTCCCATGGTCTAAGTGTAGATGTGAGGCAGTTCAATATAGTAAGTGCTAAAGGGAAAGTCATTCTAGCCCTGTAAGGGAGAGGTAAGCAGGGACAGCAGTAGTGGTGAGAAAGCAGGAGTTACAGGGTGTTTAGAGCAATAAACATGCTTAGATTAAACTCCAGCACTGAAGTATGGTAAAAACTGTGTCAGTCATCAAAAAATAAAAATACAAACATTATTAACTTGACTGGATAGCCTGATCTTCAAAATAAATTCAAATTAAACCATTTCCTAAACAGGTTTATTAAAAAGTGAGAGAGTAATAGTAAGGGAGTTTTTGCAGCACACCAATGTCCTAGTGTTTCTTACCTGTTATCTTACAAACACCTGAAAAATCAATATTTGCCTTTTACCACCATATAGCCATATGAAGAAGCTTCTTTTTCCACCTCACACAGCTAAACCAAGAATGACGAACAAAAGGCTAGATTTGTTTTAGGTCAGGATGACAGAAGCAGAAGAAATCTGTTCTATTTTAGGCTTAGTGAAAGTTTTAGAAGTTTTCTTTTAGAAAACAAACTGAACCTTTTGATACATAGGCATTTGAGAATGTCAACTTTTTTTTAAATCTCATTGTAATCATAAAACTTTGTCCTTTTTTTAGTCATGTAAGTACCCCCAAGTCTTATTGTTAGTCTCCTGCTACCTTAATTTTTTTTAGATTAGGGTATGCTTTATATTTGCTCAGTTTATATATATAAATTTTCCTACTGAGATGAGGTATTCACATCTACTTCCAGAATTATCATCAGAACAGCAACTTTTGACTTGCACTGATCAAAGTGTGAAACAAGAGGTTCAAATGAGTGGCTTGTCAAAAAGAAGACCGCACTGAAGGTACTTTCAGACATAGCAAGGGATATTCTATGGAAAAAGGATATGGAGAATGTTATCTTCTCACTCGATTCACTGTGTGCACAATCACCACTTGACCAGATTTTGGCTATGATACTTTAAGATATTATAGCTCAGTTTGTTTGCATTCTTCCATGAGAATTTGGTTCTGCACTGTCACAGCAGGAAGGTAATCATTGCCTGCGTCATGAATGCTTGTGAGAATCTGACCTATCCCTCGGCTGATTCTCTGCCCATATGAGCCACTGCTGTTTTTGGCTGAAATTGTCTGACCTCTGTAGACTTGAGCCTGATGCTCACATATACCAAACTTGCTTAGCAGGATAAACACATCTCTACGAAAAGCTTTGGTGAAAATCGCATAAAGAAAGGGGTTGGCACAAGAATTGAGGGGGTAGAAAAGTACCAGCAAAATTTTGGAATTGGTGACAGTTATCAGTGGTTTGTTCATAATGGCAGATAAAGCATGGAAAGAGATGGGAGCCATGCACAGAAAGTCTGTGAAAATCAACACAGCCATCCTCTTGGCAATTTTGGTGTCTTTGTCCCCTGACTTGTACTGAGGATTTCGCACAGTTACGTAGATTTTTATGTAGCAGGCACAAATGATGACAAAAGCAATAATGTTGCATATTAAAACGAAGACAACATAGGCTTCAGCCACTGGTGTTTCAGTGTCCATAGGCAAGCAGATGCTGACTTTGCTGTAGCTGCTGACCCCAAGCAGTGGCAACAAGGCAAGCAGAATGCATGAGAGCCACCCTCCCAGCATGATAACCAATGCGTGCCGGAGGCGAATCTTCCGATCTGGGCGCATGGCGAATGTGATGGCGTACCAGCGCTCCAGGGTGATCACAGTCAGCGTGTACACAGAAAGTTCGCTAGCAAAGACTGTGAAAAAGCCAGCTGTGTTGCAGCCGGGCCCAGTCTGCCACTCTATGGCATGGTTATAGTACTCTGACCTGGTGTAGAGATCCACTGAAGCGATCAGAAGGAGGTATAACCCCATGCAAAAGTCAGCGAAGGCCAAGTTGCACATCAAAAAACGTGGTACAGTCAGTTTATAATGGCTGGTGAGAAGGATGAAAAGGACAAAAATGTTACCTAGGATGGCAAGCAGATTCACAAACCACACCGCAATTCTCAGAAATTGATATCCCATTATATCCTCACAGGGATTAAACTCATCAGGCTCTGGGGTGCATATTACATCTTCGTTGCCTCCGCAGACAGGATAGTCATAATGACTGTCAAAGGTCTGGACATCTTCCATTTGAGGGTTTTTGAGCTCTTTGCCAAAGCCAAGATTTTCTTCTCCATGTTCTTCCAAGAAAATGTAATAATGAGGATTTTCGTGAAAATTTGTGAACTTGGTGTTTGTGTCATACACAGCATCAGTGTGGTCTGTGTATTCTTCTGCATAGTCTTTGTAAAATGGACCTCTGAGAGCTTTGACTGATCTCTTATGAAAGCTGTGGCTGCTGCTCTGGTTACAAGTCAGGTACTCCAGGATCCTGAAAGAGTAGCAGGGGAAATAATTTCTGGCATTTACAGTCTGACTGGAGCACAGTAATCAAAGGGAACACTTCAAATCATTACAAATGAAAACATAACTATAAAAATGTGAAGGGATGTATTTCTGTTAACAGAACATACAATGTATGTGTACAATAAGCTTGAGCATTTCTGGACTTTTTTTTTTTTTTTTACTATATTTTTACTTTCTCTGTTGCTGTCAGCTATCCCTGGTAGTAATTTGACTTGTTTGGTGTCCATAATTCCTCTTCCTGTTTGGGCTCTACATTCTTAGTAGGTAATGACATTTATCTGCTGTTTATCACTTCTTAGATAGTACACACAGTATTGCTTTCTTTTTTCAATGCTGCTCACAAATCAATTTCTCCCAGAATTTCCATCAGTTCAGTATCTGTTCTGTAGGTTCTTTACAGCTAACTAGCAGTGCAGTGATTTGGAATACTGTACTTTGTGGTGTGATGCAGCTGTATTTCTAGTGAAAAATTTTTCAGTAGTCAAAAGCTTTTCAGTTTGAAATCATGAGACTTGAGGCTATAATCCCTCCCACACTTTTCTCCAGGTCTTGCTACAGCACTGTACCCTTTTCTTTTTAGTTTCACTTTAATTCTGGGCTCAACAAGAGGATAAACTTCTAGAAAAGATCCTACAAAACATTCTTTTTCCTTCCAGTTTGCAATTGTAATCTCTGTTTCAAAGAGCATCGTTTTTACCTAGAAAAAATGGTAATAGAAGTGCCAATAGATGTAATTTTATGTTAATAATAAAGCATTGCCTTCACTTTCAAGGTTAAAAAAAGAATGACAGTGAAACTCACCCACTTTTTTTTTTCCAGCTCTTGAAAGCACAGCAGTGACTTGGGTATGATAGGTCAGCTCGCATTATCTGAAGAAATATCTTTACAGCTGGTAATTTCTTTAAAGTCCATGTATTTTTGGCCATTAGTTCTTTTATGCTTTCCAGTCCTTTGGCTGGAAGGTTAGAGACAGCTGTTCTGGAGACATCCCTAGGTAAAGGAAGAAAAAAAAAAAAACAAATGCCAGAACATTCACTGACTGGATCAGAATTTCTTCAGATTCTTACAGTACTTCAGGAGTTTCACAGAATTCTACAGCAAAAATCAAATCCAGAGGAGGTGGAGATTGCATATCACCTTGGTAAGTTCTGATACCATTCAAATTCAAGTAAGTTATTATTTCTCTGTGATTTTTTTATCTTATAAAACTCTTGTCTGTGATGTTTCATAATGCAGAATATGAATTATAAAGGAATATCACAATTTTTAAAATTACACAGTTAAAGCCAACCAGATACAAGTGCATATGCAAACACAAAGCTTTAAAAATTCTTTAAAGAAATCACATCTTCTATTGGAAGAGGTATATTCCCTTAGACTTTCTTAGACTCATTTTAATCTGTAAGCACACTTCAGTAGAAAGTATTACAATTACTAAAAGAATATTCTTTATATACGGAAATGAAAATCTTCTATATTAGTCCATCCTGAATATCTCAGAAAATTGAGTATTATGTTTGTTACTTTCTACTTGCTTGCTGAGGTAGAGTCAGTACCACCTCAGCAGACAGTTGATGGGGAAGGTGGCTTTCCTTTTGAACAGCCAGTTGAATGTCATCTGGTCCTGACAGTGTTTTCTGCTCAGGTTTTGTTTTGTCCCAGAACCTCTTCTACTGACTCTTGAGGTCAACATGTTCTCAAGAGTTACACTCTGTGAAAAAATAACCTGTAAAAAGGGTTCTAGTATAGAAACATTGAGCACTTTCATCATAAACACCCTAATAATAAACAATAATTCATCTTTTTTCTTTGCATTGGTTTTTAAGAGTGCTGTTCTTATCCCTCTAGAAGTCTTGCCTGCTGGCTAGTTTCTTGCACCTAAAAGAAAACTAGTACTAATTCTATGGTTTGTAGCAAACACCCACAACAGTGTTAGCCTTACTGTGTCCCCCTTTTATCTTAACCCATAAGCTCTCAACTTGCCCATCATCCATCCAAGACAGAGCTCGATACATTCCAAGTGCTGCCTCACATAGAGGGCAACTCCACCACCATGCCTTCCTGGTCTGTCTCTCCTAAATAGCAACATTCCAGTCGTGCAAACTGTCCCACCATGTCTCTGCAATCGCAATGAGATCAAAGCCCTGTGACAGCACACAGATCTCTGGTTCCTCCTGTTTGTTCCACTGCGTGTGTTGATGTACAGGCCCTTTATAGAAGTATTTGACTGTGTCAGTATCCCAGGAGGGGTGCAAAGGGATGCCCCATAGTCCTGTCTTGAGGTTATATCTTTGGATACTTGTATTCCCTCTTAAGTATCCCTTTGCTCCTTGGGTGATTGCTGTAGCTCTCCCCATACCTTATCTCTGTTAAGCTTGGCGATGTCCCCGTTCCCTTTCAAATGTAGTTTAAAGCTCCCCCTGCTAACTTCTGAGCTAAGATCCTTTTTACTTTTTGAGTCATTTTACAGAACTCTCCTTCTGGAGCAAAACATCTTGGTAAACTAGATCTTGGAACAGATCTTACCAAGACAAGACTGACCTTTCAGCAACCCTCACAGGTGTCCATCAAGTCCTCATGGTGGTGGCAGTTATCTGCAAGTAGGTAATGTGGTTAAATGCTGTGTGATGGGAAATACTGAGACTTTTTGGAAGGGAAGTGATACCTCACAAACTCTTGGGAGTTCTTTAGAGATGTACTGACACAAGCCATGGAGAAAGGTGATCCTGTTTGTGCAAAGAATTGGGATTTCTGAAAAGCCTTTACAAAATCAAATACCAAGGGCTGTTGAGGTAACTAATCTGTTATGTGTCAAAGGGAATGGCTCTCCTGAATTAATTAAAAAATAAAAGAGTGGGGGAAAAGCCTGAAGATGTGACAACTTTTCATACTACAGCAAGAATGGGAAATTAATTGATATCTGAATATACAGGTCATTACAACAGGGTCCATAGAGTCTAGGCTAGCACTGGTACTACTGAAATACTCATGAACTGTCTGGAAAGAAAATGAGACCAGCTGCAACAAAGCTTGTTTCTGATACAAAGTAATACAAGGTAGTGAAAGCTGAAGGTGATTGTCTAAAGAAGCAGAAGGGTCCTGCAATACTGTGTGACTGAGCAGTAAAATAATTGATATGATTCAGTATTGATAAATGTAAAGTACATTTATGATCAAGCAATTTTAACTGTACAAGGATGACAATGGGGTTTAATTTAGCTAGCACTCTGGAGAGATCTTTGAGTCCTCTGCAAATGTCAGGTCAGTGCTTTTAGTAATGTTGAAGGGAAATAGAATGATAAGAAGTTTTGGGAAAGATCTAGAAAATAGAACAGAAGAACTTCACTTTGTAAATCTGACTGTAACAAATATATGCAGTTCTGAAAATACTATATGCACTTACAATTAGAGCATGAAAAGCTACAGCTAGGATGATAAAAGTAGCAAGTTGTTTATATATGAAGTGATAAGGAGCAGATAAAGACTTTTCTCTTGGGAAGAGCTATGACTGGAAGCAGTAGTAGACTATAGTGCCATGCATATTGGTAATGATTATTCACTCTTGTGAGATGAGTTTTAGGGAGACCTAAGAATATGCGACTTAAAAATGAGAAAAGGCGTAATCTTTTCACAAAACTGCACATTCTATTGTGAAAGTCATTGCTGTGGTTCATTGTGCAGGTCAAAAAACCAAAGTAACAAGAAGAACAATATACCTCTTTGTTTTGTTGTTCCCATCAGAAATGACTGGGTCAGGAGGAACACCCTAGGGAACAAGGGCTCTTGCCTTGGAAACAACTGCTGAGAGGAGTTTCTCCAGGGCCCTGGATGCACAGGGAAGGGAACTGCAGCTTCTGGAGAGCTGCGAGCAGAAGGGAACAGCGAGCCCAGGGCTAAGAAGGAGTCAATTTCCCAGGGAGCAGAGGTGAACACACAAAGTTTGTGGCAACTTAGAATGTTATCAAGAAAGATCTGTTCAGTGAGAAGAAAGAGCTTGGAAGAATTACTAATAAGATTGTGTAATTTCTTTTCTATCTTACTGAATCCTTTGAAGTATTTTGTGTATGTGCATAGAGGTGTGTATTTAAGCAGTTAGGTATTGCAGGTGTTGTTTTGAAGCACTCTACTTGCTTTATACTGGGGAGCTTGGGTAAAAGTTACAGGCACAGCTGCACTGACATTCCTGTTGATTTAGGATTAAACCTATTGCAGACCTGCCTTGCAGACTGCTCTGAGTGTTGTGCCTATCTCCTCAGAGTTACCTGGGACTTCTACATAGGCCTTTGACAAATGCCCACAAGGCTGATACTGAAACTGGGCAACCACACTCCTTGTGGAAGGTGTCAAATGTTTAGGATTATGGTGAAGGCAAGCAACATTCACTTCTAGCCTAGATCCAGACCAGACTTTAGCTTTTAAATAGCCTTGGTCTACAGGTCGCTCAGGTGCTGGAAATTGTCTGCGGCAATGTAGAGCTCTACACTGTGAAGCGTAACAGCAACCAAAGTGCTCTCAACCAAATTCAACATTTTGGCTTGATAGCTGGTTTGTTTTGTCCTCACGTTTTCTTATAAATCTCAAGTGACAATTCTAGACTGTTGCTTATCTCATATGAAATTTACACATTAGATTAAATGTTAAAAGAGACTCTATAGATCTTCAGATAAATGTGGGAATAAAATACAGCTTATGATTTCAGAGATGTTGTTTTCTGAACCAACTGTATATATAATAGAAGTGTTAACAGATATTTAGTTGCCCAAATTTTATTTCTTTTTTCCTGGGTTATTATTTTTTGGTCTTAATTCTTTGTTGGCTTTATGAAGTCACAGATAATAGTTTTGCCAACAATCCTTTTCATTGCTGTAAGCATGCAATTGTAGTATGAAATCAAGTAATACTGATTATTTCAAAGACAGATAATTAAGAAAAAGAGAGTGATTGCATCATAGTACAGTTGAGAATTTTTACCGAATCATATACAGATTTCTGAACGTTGCAATAGTTAAAAAAGCATAAAATATATAATAAATATATAATAGATGGGCTTAGACTACAGATATTATTTTATTCTCTTCTGAAAGATTTTTTTAAATCTACAAATTTGCACTGCTTGATTAGCAGAATACAGAGTGCTCCTGTTGCTTGAAGACTTGCTTGTGCCAAGCAACAGGAACAGAATCTCCTGAGGTATGACCCTTTCTTAGATTGGGAAATGATGCTTTAAAGACCAATTCTGCGTTCTGGAGAGAATTAACTAATCATATATATCTTGTGTGACTGTAATGTTTTGAGTTTGGACTGTGTGTTTTGTAAAAGCTAACTGACTAATGAGCCTGATTGTATTTTTGTTGTACTCTGTCGAACTTTTGCTCTAGGCAGCAGCTGTCATTGCATTTAGTAAATCAGGTCCACTGAGTTGCTGCATCCTTGCCAAGATTTCATTTTCAGATGAAGAGCAATGTTATTATCCTGTTAAAATAGTTTTCTAAAGGGAATAGTCTGTGTATACATCTATGCAGGTGCTGTATACATCAGTGACAAAGGCACCAGAATTACTGACTCCCTCCTCCTTTTGCCGTTGTAAATTGAAAATTTGAAAAAAAAAAAAATAACCAAACTTTTCAATACCTGTTTAAATAAAACGTCTAATTAGGGGGTCTGAAAGCATGGCCAAGCTAACACAACAAAGATATAAACAGGCACAATTCTTTGTAGTTAAATTTTTCTCATTGATTTTCTTTAAAGTCAAATGTAATATTACCCCATTAGGGTGGATCCATAATCTGTATTTCATTCTTTAAGTTGCTGTTGCTGCTGAAATTCTGATCAGAAATAAGTGCCATTTGTGGGGCAGATGTTCCATCAACCATAAATTCTTATCTTGATTTAAGAGTGCATAAAGGGAACTCCATATAATTAGTTCTTCCAGCTTGCTAAGGGAGGCAAGACAAAGTTTCTCTTTTGAGATCCGTAGATGTTCTTTTTTTTTTCTGCATACTGCTCCCACTATAAACAATACCATTCATTGCTTCAGTAAAAAAAGCAATATTCTCACGATAATTTCCCATAGAGTTAATTTTCAAGACAAAACAGTTTTGAAAGTAGAACTTTCTTTTTGAGGAATATCCAATGGCCGGCTAATAACAGCTAAGTGTCTGAACCAAAAATTACTTAAATTATTTCTTATAATAAGCCAAGCTGTTTACACTGCCCAAGGAATATGGAAGGGCTGTATTGGTCAGACTGTTATGCAAGTTAACAAATCTCTGTTCTTTCTATAAATGACTCATTAGTATTGATCATGATGGTGTAGTGGGGAGTGTATACTAAAGCACTAATTCCAAGGACACCTCTGTTTCCTGTGGGAGATGTTAATGGGCATTGGCATGACACAACAATAAATACTAGGTTTCCACTCAGTTTTTGTGTTTGGCTGGCATAGAGTTAAATTTCTTCACAGCAGCTAATATGAGGCTACGTTTTTGATTTGTGAGTGAAAATTGTGTTGATAATACAGTGATATTTCAGCTATCCCTGGGCTTACACTGAGCCAAGGCATTTTCTGCTCCTCATACCATCTGACCAGCGAAGAGGCTGAGGATGCACAAGAATTTGGGAGGGGACACAGCCAGGACAGCTGACCCCAACTGATCAAGGGATATTCCAGACCTTATCACATCATGCTCAGTGATTAAAAACTGGGTGGAAATTTGCCAGGACTGCCATTGCTTGGGGACTGGCTGGGCATCAATGGGCTGGTGGTGAGCAATTGTTTTTGTTGCATCACTTGTTGTTCTTGGATTTGGTTTGCTTTCTTTCCTCTGGTTTGTGTTTTGGGTTTTTTTGTATTTTTTGTTTTTGGTTGGGTTTATTTGTGTGGTTTTTTATTATTAAACTGTAATTATCTCAGTCCCTGAGGTTTCTCACTTTTACCCTTCCAGTTCTCTCCCCCATCCCACTGGGTGCAGGGCTAAGTAAGCAACTGTGAGGAGCTGAGATTCAGACCAGAGTTAAACTGTGACACTGTATTAAAATCTTTAGCTTAGGACTAGTATATCACAGCTACCATGATGTGAAATGCTCTGGCTTTTTAAATCACTGTTGATTTACTATGCTTACATGCCATTTTTTGCTTTCTGCCTTTGAGAAGTGATACCTCTCTCTGTAATGACACTATTTCTCTTTAGTTGTAAGTACTACTAGGACTCTTATTAGCCATGGAGTAGGAGATGGATAGCTGGCTGTTTAGACTGAAATATAAAACATCTTGAGACTGAGGATCAATGGTAGCTGGGATAGCACAATAATTGTAGAAGATTGGAAAAAATTCAAGTCATTTGGGAGATCTAACTTAAAAACATAGAATAAGAGGGAAATTCTTTACAGTTAGATAGGCATATCCTAGGAAGTCATCTCTAGCTCCTAAACCAAGAGGTTTCATGTAGCTCACATGCCTCAGAGTTAGCCCTTGCAGAGGAGCTTACCTGGCAATGTTATTACAGCATATGATTAACCCACAACCCTTAGCAGCATTTTAACTTGTTCACCTGTCTAGCATAACAATAACAACATTGGTGCTTTAAATACCAACGGTAACCAAAGTTGGAGTCAAGAGTCAAAAATCTGTGCTGCTGCAAGCTCTTATCTCCCTTTAACTTAAGATCCTCAGTATTTGGTCTTCTGCCATCTCTAGGAAGAAGGTTTTCAACCCATTGTGCCACCTGTAGCCTCAGAGGGAAGATGTGCAATGCTATGTTTGGAGGCTGTATGACACCCAAAATATAGCAGAAGATTGCACCTTGCTTGGAGACTGTATTTATTGTGACCATGTAATATCATAATGGAAATATGTAATGGAAATCCAGGTAAAGTTCTATCAACTGAAAAATGTCTTTCTGTCCAGGAACAAAATGAGAAAGGGCTTCTCTGATGTCATCTGCAATATTTAGGTAAAGGCCTTATTATCCAAATACTAATTAAAAAAAGGCTGCCATATCACCAACCCAGCCTCTGTCACAGTTGTCTGACCATGACCATTCTAGTTCAGGAGTAGGTAGCCTGACCCCTCCTGAAAGCAGAAACAGTGGAAATTAAGGTGATGCAACTAGCAGAGAGGAAGAGGAGCAACAGCCACCACAGACAGGAAGCTGAACAGCCCCTTTGTGAGCTTTGTGAGTTTCCTATGTTGCTGGTAGCTAGCCTGATGTTCTAGAGTTGGAAAGATTCTGGAAGAAAAATAATATCTTCTGCACTTTTTGTTATTATAGCTAGCTGCTAGGATTCTTCTGTGAACACTATACTGTTATTCTGCTGTGAATATACTATTTTCCTGAAGAGCAGAAAGTAAAAGTTATTCTTACATGGATTGAGCACTGCCAACACCATCTGGTTTTGCAGTGGAGGAGGAAGTCCCTCTTTCACTATTTCAGTTCTCCTTGTGATCAGTTGTATGCTCTACATTACATACTACAAGATTTGAGCCAGGGAACATGATTCTTCAAGAAGTCCTTAGCCTCTTTAAAGCTTCTATTTTCATTCTGTAGTGTGATTCCTAATTTTAGTGAAAAGTTCTTTGGAGAACTATAAAATCAGACTGGAAGCAAATTACATGAGAAAGAAGAAAAGACAGCACCAGAAGTAAGTATTTTTTCTTTCTAAAATTACTTTTCCATCTCTTTCAATTTCCTTTACATGAGTGCTACTAGGGTCCTTGTTTTATATTACAGTTGTACAGTCATAAAACAGATTGTAGTATGGAATCTTTCAAAAGAAAAATTGGTAGGAATGGTGTATGTAGTGTAAGATACAAGCATTTCATAAATCAGTTCCCTAAAGCACAGCTTCTGTTCCTGGTATTATTTTTGTAAATATACTATTCCCATCCCTTCTGCTCTGCTTCTAGTGATTGGAAAAAAAGTGCAACCTAAAATAGTATTATTTTTTAAAGATTTCTCTACTTCATTTTCTCCTACTTACAGTAGAGTTGGTCCACTATGCACTCCCAGAAATGCATCATCATTGATAACTTCCAGGTATTTGTTCTTGTGCAGATAGCTGCAGAAACAAACAAAACACAGTGATACGGAAATAGTTATCCATAGGTTACAGAAGATCTCCAGTTTACTTGCCTGAACAGATTTACAAAATCAATATGTATAAGGGTCATCCTATCCCAATAGTATATTTAAGCATAATCAGTTAGCTCATTTTCTGTGTACCCAAGAAACAAAATACAGGTTTTCCGTTTTGAAAAGAAATTAAATTCTTCAATTAATAAACTTCCTAATTTTTTTTTCCTCATTGTCATACACATAATAAGGACACATGGATGCACACTGTATCTTCAGGTACATATGCGTGATGCTGAGGTGAAATAGTTTTGATTTCTTTTATCAGAATGAGGTATGGGGAATTACATTGTTACAGAATCACAGAATATTCTGAGTTGGAAGGGACCCACAAGGATCACTGAGTCCAGTTCTTAAGAGAAAGGCCCATACAGGGATCGAACCCACAACCTTGACATTATTAGTGTCATGCTCTAACCAACGAAGCTAGCAAATTACGAACAAGCAAGAAAATAATTTCCTCTGTGTTTTGAGTTTGATAAAAGTTTTAAATGCTTTAAAATCTCCATAGTGAAGTGTAGGTTTCCTTTTACAGGTCAAAAGTTAAGACTGAAGTTGTGTTATAAGAAGAGCAACAGTGGGAGTATAGAGAGTAACTTCAAAGTAAAAAAAATAATTCTAAAGTCTTGGGAAAATCATGAACAATTTCCTGAGTATCCAACCCATGCTTTCCTGACATATGTAAAGCTGCAAATTTCTCCTATCATTACATGACTGAGGTAAGCAAAGACCAACATTAATTCCCATCACTCTGTAAACCGATGTATAATAAAGTATGGATTCGGGAGGTAGGGAATTTAGAGTTGAATTAAAGGTGCATGATTAAAAACAGGTAATGCAAGGCTACTGAACACTCAAAAAATTAGCATAACCCAAATGGCACAATCCATGTTAAATTAATTTATGGGGTTTTAGGTTTAAAATTTACTGATCTAGAATGAATCTTGATTTTGTTGTTGTTGTTTTTTAGCTGGATTCCTATTTACCATGGTCTGAAACGGTCGTTTGAGAAACTTACATGGATTATTATTGCAGGTAATTCAGTTAAGTTCCAAATTGCTTCTGAGGGGCTATGCATTTCTGTCTGAAGAAATGCATAGTAGAATTTATAGTTTTTGTGAAAAGACTTGGGAGAAATAATTGGCTTTACTGGCTCCACAATTGTAGGTGTACAAAAAAAAACGTGCTGCAGAAGCACAGTGTTGTGTTTTAACCCCCACTGACAGCTAAGAACCACTCAGCTACTCGTATGCCCCCACCTCCCAGTGAAGGGGGAGTTGGAAAGAAGGAGAAACCAGCATGTTGAGATAAGATCAATTTAATAATTGGGAAAAAAATTGTAGTGGAAAGGCAGACAGCAATAAAACCCCAAAGCCTCAAGTGTTTCATGATACCATTGCTCACTACCCACTGACTGATGCTCAGCCAGGCCCCCAGCAGTGCTTGGGCCCTCCCAACCAAGTCTCCCCCCCAGTTCATATGCTGGGCATGATGTTCTTTTGTGTGGTCTTTGGCCAGTTCAGGTCAGCTGTCCTGGATGTGCTTCCTCACGGCTTTGTGTGCACCTGCTCGCTGGCAGAGACTGGGAAACTGAAAAGGCCTTGACTTAAGGTAAGCACTGCACAGCAACAACTGAAACCATCAGTGTGTTATCAACATGAGAACAATCTCATACTGTATCCAAAACACAGTACTGTACCAGCTACTAGGAAGAAAATTATTACTATTCCAGCTGAAAAAAGGACAAATATACAAATATGCATTAGTTGGGTATATTTGACACATTAAAAATGTGGGTTTGGAACAATTGTCCAACTAAAATGTACTTCACGCATGTAAATTTCCTTGATGAGGTGATTTCTCCTCATTATCTAGGAGGGAGAAGGATTTGCAGTTATATGCAGCTGGGTCTCCTAAACACACAGACAGGAATATGTTGAATTAACTGAGCAAAGAAAAGAGACTGAAGATTAGGTTGCATCGTATATATAATCCATACATGTGTGTCTGCTTATACACGTACACGTGGATACTACTGTGATAATTCTTTCCCTAAGACAGCAATTAAACTCTGGGTGGTGTTTTTACTTAATTCAATCAAATTCTGTCACAATGTTTACAAGAGAAACAACTTGCAGACATGAAACCTAGTCATGCCTTTTAACTTAATTTAGATGGAATTTGAAATCTTATGATGAGATTAAGAATCATTTACCAAATATAGTAGTCCCTGGAGGAGGATGGAGAAGCATCTAGCTCCTTTGGCTGAGAGGAATGAAGACAAGAAGCAGGAAGACACAACAGTCCAAGTGTTTTGTTTCTGTACTATTACGAGAAAGAACCTCTGAGAGAAGGTTGAACCAAGGCAGCAAAAGGGATGGTACAGTTCCAGGACCACATTTCGGGTCAGAAATGCAATCAACCCATTAAGGAGGAGAACACAGAAAGTTGTCAAGGGAGATTTTAGAGGAACATGTCTGTTTCCCTTGATGAAATAATGGCAAAATGATCAATCCTGTAAAGGCTCTGAAGGACTAGGGTGCTTAGGCAGGCGATACTTGTAGCACTTTTGACTATTCCATTTATAAATTTTATCATTTTTCAACCTAGTGGTAAGGGTAAAGTGTAATTGCCCCAGTAGCAAACCGCAGATGAAAGCATGAGGCTGCAGTTTGGGAGAGCAACAGGGCCCACAGACTGCAATATTACAGGTAGCTCAGGTCCAGGAGAAGCAGGAGGATGAACTCATAGAGACAAAAGCATGGCAACAGTGGATGACCCAGACCCAGTAAACCACAAGCTTCAGGATTACTTGACATTTTACCAGCAAGGGCACAGGGCTGGTGGAGGCTTTGTAAGGCAAGAATGAATTAAAAGATGGCTGCAGATGATGACCGTGAAACATTGCTCAAGAGAAAACAATGTGGTCCTCAGTCCGACTAAAGGACAGAAACTTTGCAAGAAATGCAGACAGGCTGCATTATGGAGGTAATGTTTCACAGGGTAGAGTAATTTCATAAAATTTCAGAGTGCAGTTGGCACAGAAATTATAAGATGACCAGATCTATTAAAGAAATTAAGTAAAATAAAAGGAGAAAGAATATGATTCTATCTATGTAAGTAGTAATGCCTCAAGCAGGGAGGGATGTTTGGTACTTTGTTATAAACATTTACAAATGAACTGGTGATGTAACTAGGAAGGCAAAAAGTGCAACAGAAAGGTGGTCACAACAAATTTAAGAGAGTGTCCATAATGTTCAGAAAATCACAGAATATTCTGAGTTGGAAGGGACCCACAGGGATCACAAAGTCCAACTCCTGCCTGTGCACAGGATAGCCCCAAGAGTCACACCATGCGCCTGAAAGTATTCTCCAAACACTTCTTGAACTATGTCAGGTTTGGTGCTGTGACCACTTCCCTGGGGAGCCTGTTCCAGTGCCCAATCACCCTCTGGGTGAAGAACCTCTTTCTAATATCCATCTTAAACCTCCCCTGACACAGCTTCAGGCCATTCCCTGGAGTCCTGTCACTGGTCACCAGAGAGATCAGTGCCTGCCCCTCCTCTTCCTCTCATAAGAAAGTTACAACTGCAGTGAGATCTCCCTTCAGTCTCCTACAGACTGAACAGACCAAGTGACCTCAGGTGCTCCTCCAGAGGCTTCCTCTCTAGACCCTTCACCATCTTTATAGCCCTTTGTAGCTCTCTAATAGCTCTATATCTTTTGTTGCCCAAAATTGCACATGGTACTCAGGATGAGGCCACAGGAGAGCAGAGCAGAGCAGGACAGTCACCTACCTTGACTAGCTGGCAAGCCAGGGTGTGGAAAAAATCAAGTTAAGATTCTAATCTCTCCTGGTTGAAGTCATTGGCAATTTTTTCATAACATTCACTGAATATAAGTTTATATTGATCACCATAGCGAGAAATGAGAAGTAAATGCACTTCATCTGTGTTACACAACAGAAAGTCTTGAGGAGCCAAATCAGAATAATGTTTCTGGCATGTTATTCATTGGACACTGCCCATGACTTAAGCCTTGTTTCTTGCAGAGGAAAATAGCTTATGTCACCTTCTGAGCTATTGTTGTTTGAAAGAAGCTTTTATTCTTTAGAAATATATGGCACTCTAGTATTGCCTGGTGTTTGTGTTTTCTGAGAACTGACTTTCTTATTCTGAAAATGGCACACTATTGTTGTGAACATTTCCTTCAGTGTACAAATTTCCTCATTATTTTATCTGCAAAACAAATACAAAAATTAAAATCAGAGCAAGAGTTAAGAATTAATCCAAGATTTCAACATCTAGGTTGTAGTTTTGAAGGACACAAAAACCTGCTTGACCTAAAAAAACCTATCTGCTTTAGTAACTAGATACTATTATACAACCAGATAATTGCTTGTCCAATCTTGAAATATTTTCCCCTGATATTTGAGCACCATGGTAAGTAATAAACCTGAAATATAATAGTCTATCTACACAAAAAAACCTTTCAAACTTACAAATAGAAACAGCTAGAGACTTTGGGAAGTTCATAACCATGTGTTACTAAGGAGGGGCTTCAGTGTTAGCTGCCAGTTTTCACATCGATGAGTCAGACTCATCAGAATGTACAGTTTCCTGATGCTAATTGATTTCAGTTGTTTAAGCTCTTTTATTTTGATAGGTACTGCTTTTAAGTGGAAAGAATAAGACTTTGGTAGATATTAGTTTGAGAAAGAAAGCTTATGTAGAGCCAGTATAGTTCCTTCTGAGACTGCCTTTAATCCTGTCGTTAGCGATAGCTAAATGATATAGAACATCACTTAAAAACGCTGCAGAAGAGAAAACCACAACAGTGGTATCCACGTCTAAACAAATGTTTGAAGTCTTAGAAATCACATAGTTGATGTGTAATATCTAACCTCAGTGGGGACACTAGAATAATAGTTGTTTTGGAGAGTTGTGGATGGCAATCAGATAGACATAGATACCCCAGAGCAAAGTATGCCAGAAAACTGTAGTAGTGAGTGCTGAATCTGGAGTAGGAGATGCTGATGGTTTCGTGGTGCTGTAAGTAAATGAAGGCTTTTTCCCCCTTTTTTAAATCCAGTCTTATTAGTAAGCTAAGCGTACCAGTGACTAATACAGAGTCTCTAAGGGCTCAAGATCCTGGGGCAAGTGAGAAGAATATTGTGTTAAGTTTCAGCCCGACCAGAAAACAACATGACTGCAGTGTGCTGAGCAGGACCTTCTGAGAGCATGAAACACTAACAGGACACTTCAAATGCTATGTAAAACCGGACAATGTCATATCAGGGCATGACAGAGATACTGAGTATTCAGACATTACTAGTGCATGTTTCATAAAGCAATAGAGTCCACATGGTTTCATCTTGAGTGGCATGCATGCTCTGTTTCAAAATGTTAGTGCCTCAAGTCTCTTTTAGAACAACCACCAGGTACTGACAGTTAGCAACTCTCTATGGCCAAAAAAGCTGAAGAGGCAAATACAGCTGTAGTCTCCAAAAAGTAGAAATAAATATATATGACAAAACTTCCTTTAAAAATAAACAAAAGTATGAAAGTTACATCATTGAGAGCATTCTGGGAGCTCTTTAAGGATACTATTTTGGATATGCAGAGTAAACATGAAAAGCAAGACTTGGCAAAAGAAAAACAAGATCCTGAATATTCAAAATATTCAGAATCTTCAACTGAGATGAAAAACTGAAAAATATTGAAAAATCTGAAGATAATTTTACAAAATATTTTATTTTTACCAAAAGTGTACTTTCTTCTGGAGATAAAAGATATGAATGAAAAATGCTGACCAGCTACCTTCAGTTAAAGAGCATGTGAGTGCCACATACCTTTCTTGAAGTGTGAAAGATTTCTATTTTTCTTATTTCATAGTCCAAAATTATTCATACCATGCCCTGTGTTGCAGCTGGACACACCTTTCTTGGTGTTTTTTTTTTTTTTTAAGCTGGATTATTTCACTGATAAGTTTTTATTGTAGTCCGACAACCAATTTTATGTGCACAGGGTATGACAGAATAAGAATGAAAAGACAGATTAGGGAAAAGGGGAGATTTTGCAAAATTTTCTTACAAAGAGTCACTTAGTTTAAAAAGAAATAAATTTACAAGTTCCTTCTTGGAACATCTCACTGTCTGATGGAATTATGTATTATCTGCTTGCTTGCTTTTGGCTTCTAGTTTTAAAATTAGGAGTTGAGAGCTTAAGAAACAAGGAGAAGATAAGTATGTTGGCCACATATTTAAGTAACACCACTACAGCATTAAATGGGCTCTGGACATGTAACATGTTAGTGTATCTATGCATCTGGTTGGATTATGAAATTAAGGTTAAAGAAAGGGAGAACAGGCAAAAGAGATGTATTAGTAAGTGAGCAGTACTAAGGATTCATCGTATGATTTTTTCACACAGTTGTTTATCTTGACTCTGAGCTGAGCCAAGCATTATAAGTGAACCCTGAAAGTGTATACCGAAGTAAATATATTCTTTTAGAGTTCATTTTTGTAATTAGATTTTGAGATCGCACACTTTCCATTTCAGTAATTTAGACAGCTCTGTAAAAGCTCATCACAAATATATTTTGCCATTCACTGAAAATATGTTTTAAAATCTCTTCTTTCCTCACCAATTTCCTTACAGAAATAAACACTGGTAGAGCAGCACTGCTTGCAGAAGTCTGCAGGAGTAATGCAGTTTATGGACCTTAATGATGGGTTAGAATGAGGGATTCAAGTTTCAGATGAATGCTTTTTGGTAAAAGTGTCACTTAGCCCTTCATTCCTGGTTTCTTACTTCCCTGCCTTTATAAAACTTGTACAGCAGTACTGTGGCTTGTTATCAAAACACACATCCTTGTTGGATGAGAAGATCAGTTAGGTATTGCCATTACTCAGGATGATAATGGTAACTACTTATGCATGGTTTCAAACCTTTATCTGCATTGATTTTTTTTTACTTTGAATTTCATAGGCATTTTTTACTGCAAGAGTGGTAGAAAGGCACAGTGCACAGGAGAAGATAGCCTCAGAGATTCCCAAAATGTCTTCTGATTTATGGATGGAACACGGAGTCTTTGAATAATTTGTCAAAAATTTATTATTATTTTCCTTTTTTACTTATTTTCCTCCTCAAGATCATTATTCCAAACCTATTCAAATTTCCCTCAGCCTTTTTCTGTTAGTTTCTTTTCGCTCCTATTTCTGTTGAGTTCAAAGGCCCTTGAATCAGACACAGAGAAAAACAGGTACTTCCTTCACTGTACAGTGGTAGATAGAGAGGAGTTCAAATTAGAAATATCAGAACAGAGAAAACTAAATATTTGTCTTTTACGTTAACTTAATGCTGCTGCTAGAAACAACAAATCTCCAAGCTTGCACTTAGCAAAATTATACCTTATCTTGTCCTATGGTAACCAAACTACTTTAGAAAATTAGTTTTGAAATTTCAGTGTAGTTTATCAAACAGATCAAGTCTTTACCACTGATGTTCAGCTCCGTAGTTTGCCTTGCAAATCTGGAGTACTGCTTTGCTCCAAGTAAATGTCATATGATTTAGTTAGGAGAAAAGTGTTTATTGTAATAAACCATTTTTACCGCGGGTAGATAAAGCCATGAACATAAGTCTAGTTCATTGGTATGTGGTTTTTTTTTTTGTTTTGGTTTTGTTTTTTTTTTTTTAAATTTGATTAACTAGGACATCATAGCCAGTTTCTGGAAAATTCACTTAGGATCATAAGACATATCCATGTATCTGGTTAGAAGGCCCCATAAGTATCATGGAGTCCAGCTCCCTGCTCGCAGAATGACCAGAAACGAAATCATATGACTATGACCATCATGCAGATGCTCTTTGAACTCTGACAGTCTTGGTGCTGTGGCCACTCCCCATGAGAGTGATCTGACCACCCTCTCGGTGAAGAACTTTCTCCTTATGTCAGATCTGAACTTCTCCTGATGCAGATTCGTTCCATTTTCCTGGATCCTATTGCTGGTCACCAGAGAAAGATCAGCACCTCCCCCTGCACTGCCTCTCTTGAGGAAGTTGTTGGCTGCGTGAGGCCACCCCTCTGCCTTCTCTCCACCAGGCTGAACAAGCAAAGACCCCAAGGTCTTGCCCTTAAGGCCTTTCACCATCTTGATTGCTCTCCTTTGGACACACTCTAATGATTTGCTGTCCAGCTCATATTGTGGTGCCCAAAACTGCACGCAGCACTAGAGGTGAGGTCACACCACTGCAGAGCAGAGCAAGATAATCCCCTCCTCCGACCAGCTGATGATGCTTTGCCTGATGCCCCCAGGACTCGTTGGCCCTCCTGGCTGCCAGGGCACTGCTGACTCATATTCACCTTCCAACTCCCAGATCTCCCTCTGTGAGGCTGCTCTCCAGCCTCTCATTCCTCACTTTGTATGTATGACCAGGATTACACTGTGCCAGATGGAGAATACAGCAACTGCTCTTGTTAAATTTAATATAGTTGGTGATTGCCCAGCTCTTAAGTCTATCCCAATCTCTCTGCCCTCTTCTCTCAAACCCTTAAAGAATACTTAAATATCCTGAAAGAATATTAATTAAAAACTTTTTTTTCTACGAGGAAGCAAGCAGTATCTATAGAAGCTAGTATATGTTGTCTGCTTCTCTAGTTCTCAGTCCAGTAACATATTTAGGACTCTAGATCTTCTAAAACTACATTTTCACTTGAGAAATTCTTTAATAATAATGAGAATTCCAAAGAGGCCAGAAGCAATAGCACTTTCACACTATCAGAGAAGCATAAAGAAAAATTGGTACAAAATAGTCTCCAACCTGTTTCATCAAAATGTAAGAAATGGAAGAGCCAACACAGTTCATATATTGGATTAGAAAGGTTTTAAGTATTGCTACATACAGCTTAGAGGGATTCAGTCAAGACACTGGATTCATTTTGCCATATTTTATATCTTGCGATTTCTGCGGGCACTAGTACAAACACTGTGTCATCATGAGATGTGAAAGTTCAAAGTAAGTGAATTAATATGAGTAAAATAAGATATATTCATCTTTAGTTTAACTCAAACCTTTCAAACTTTAAGTCTAGCTAGCTCTTAGGGTAAAAAAAAGGAAGTTTGGAAAAATTAAGACCATATGAAGGATGCTCTAATGGAATTCTTACAGAATTTAAGCCCAATTTAAAATAAAGTACTGAAAATAAGCGTATCTATCTCCCTGTCTCTCTGGTTAATTTAAGAGCTCATGATGAAGAAATCTCTTTGCTCATGAGATTGACAACCAGACTCTTCAGTAAAGCCACTGTAGGACCAGAGTAAGCTCTACCAAAATGAGTGGATCCTCTGGAACTGAGACTTATTCTGTTTTAATGATTGGGGCAGATGATTGGGGGTATGGTGTAAAGAGGATATTCACTCACTAAGTATTAATTTTCCAGAGAATACAGTAAGAAGGTGAAGGGAAATATGAAATGGTTAATTCATACTTTTGAGATGTGCATCTCTCATTTCTGATGCAAGTGACTGGTTCCTCTGAATTGCTCCCAGCACCTTACACAACTCTCTTTTTTTGCAAGAGATTTCTGTGAAATCTGCCATGATTTTATTTCTGAGCTATAAATATACATACCAAATGAAAACACACTGCAAAAGACATTAAGCGACAATATTTTTATTGCTAGCTGAAATTAACATCCTCTTTTTACTCCTTAAAAGTAATTAGAATGAGATATGTGTTTAAGAACCTTGAATAAGCATCAAAGGTTGTTTTTTTCTTCTGAAAGAGGAGAATGATCTGCTACTTACATAGCATCCAGATTTGTTCCATTAAAAGCATGGCCCTGAATACTGGTAAAACCATTATTGTAGAGTTTGCTGCAAGGAAAAAAACAACTAAATTAACCTATTTTGGGTTGCTTCAATACCTGAATACCTAACATCTTATGTATCATTTTTCTTGGCAACAGCACATTTATGGATGGGTTAATTTTAATCTCTTATAGAAGAAGTAGTTATAGTGCAAGGTCAAACCAAATGCCCACAAGCATTCTTGAATGTACCTGAATCAAGGATACCACGTGGCAGGTGTGCCGTCTTTTACATCTTTTTACAGCAATGATAGAATGATAAACCACTGTGCTATAACTTTCCCACCATCACATTAAAAGCAAGGAAACAAAATCCTACTAGGACTAATTAAAGAAGGCTAAAGGAACCAACAACTAGCAAAATAGGTCTGATTTTACTATCAGGCCTACCTGAATTTTTAGAATTCATTCTTTTGCTCCCTTAGAGCAAATGAGTTTTTTTATAGTTTCTTTAGAAGTCATTCATTTGCATTCTATTGCTCTAGAACGAGTTATGAGAATGAAATAGGAGTTCAGGTCATAACTCATTAGAGTAATTTTCACTCCCTTCAGCCCTTTCTTGTGGCTCACACTGACTGTGACTTACATAACTGAATTTTATTTAACATTTTTCTTTCAAATATGTCTCTTCTAATGTTTACCATCCATTAGTTTTCATGGTATGAGCTATTTAGGTTGCAAAAAGAGTTAGACAGAGTTCTAACCATGCTGTAGCTTTACAGGGGGAAAACTGCAAACTTTTTCCTTTGATTTTCTCCAGTATAATAATTCACTAGCATTAGGGTCATACAAAACCAAAACCACTTTAATCAAGACAGTTTAAAGAAAAACAGCAGGACTGATTCAAATAACTGTCAAAGTACAGGATTTATGCAAACTAAGTTATGGATACTGCCTGTCTATGGTGTTTCTCTGTTACAAACTACTAGAGAATAGGACAGGGATAAATTTTAAACATTTTACCATATGCATTACAAGAGAGGTCATTGCCTTGTGACTTGAACTGGAAGAACTTACAGGGTTAAAGATTCATTACAAAGCCCATGGAAAGCATTTGCAGGCACTGAAGTCATGTAAGGATTATCTGCAATTTCACTGAAAAAGGAGACAAAATATCACAGTGAAACATTTGCCCAACAGAGCTTCTCCAGAACATCTTTGTTATTAATTTTTCACTGCGTTGATAATAAATGACAGTTTAAAATAAAACTTCATTTATTTAAATAAATAAATTTATGCTCTCTATATATTATATAATTAATAATATTAAAATTAGTAAAAATAATGTTTATTGTATATTATAAATCTAAAGTTATTTAAATAAGCATGTATTTATTTAAAAATAGATAAAATTCTCAAAGCATAACCTATTTAGTTATATCTAAGGCCAGAATATACATGTGGGATGAAGAATTGAGCATGTTCCAGCATCCAGGAAGAGAGTTTGTGAGGTAGGTGGGTTTTGTAGTCCTGGTGAGGTGTGCTAGCCTGTGTGATTATAGTGGCTAATGGCACAGACAGGTCCCTGGTCTCATGAGCCAGAGAACTAGCAGAGTGAATAATGCTGCAGTGTGAATTGAACAACCCAATTGGCTTTAGAGCTGAAATCCTGCTCTCTAAGGTCAGATAAGGCATCAAATAATACCTTACTCAGGACAGAGGTATTGCACTTTACAGAACTGCATCTAGCACAAGTGAAATAACTTACTGTGGGATCTAATCTAATGATTTTTCTCTTGTCCAAATGACTATTTCATTATCTGTCATTACTTAAATACTTTATTATTCCTACTCTGCAGTCTTAATAAATACTATGTATTTTCAGACCAAAACTCTGTTCATAATGAAAGATAGAAAGAAGAACTGGAAAGATTTACTATAACTAAACTGGAGAAAGGAGAGACGAAAAAGCTGGTAGAAACAAAGGGCAGAGCAAGGTGTCTTACTGTCCTTCTTCTGATTTTTCCTGAATCATATTATAATCTGGAAACCAAAATATTGTGGAAATTTTTCTTTTCTTCAGCTTATGGATTAGATATGGTCTAATAAGGCCAATCCATAAGGTACGTAGGCTGAGAAGTCCTAACAATTTCCCATGTGCCAGGAACAATTTTATTTCTTTTCTGTGCTATATATCTGCATACATATGTGCTAACACTGAGCAGTATTTACAGCCATTTTCATTCCAAGTACTTTTCACTGATAGTTGGTTTTCACCAGAAGTTATATTGGTTTGATGTTTTTCGGATTGGTTCACTTTTCTAAATAAATGTTTACTTGTCAGCTGCTTGACCTCAAAGACAATTAGTAATATAATGAATGCTTTTTCCCCTGCTATACCTTATTTATCGTTTAGATACCTATTATTTTTCAAGAGCATTTTTTTCTTGATGAAAGAAACAAAAAGGCTACCTTTCTTTGAATAGCGATGTTTAGAAATATACAACACAGAAATATCTCCCTTGAAAGTATAGGTCTACTCTTTAAAAAGTCTGTAGCATATAAGACGTATGTTTATCTTTTATTAGTGATCTCTATAAAAAAAATTTCAAGGTAGAAATAAAGTAATGTTTTGCTTTCTGCCACTTAGAAAGGCACTGAGTTGTTTGGAAGTAAGAACACAGATGGTTGTATAAACTGCTTCTGTTTCATGTAGCCCATTAAATTCTTAGTTCTCTTTACTTAGTAAGTGTAGTATCTAATTTACAATCTAGTAGAGCTTAATCTAAGCTAAAGCCCTTTTGGTCTTTGAGAAACTCCCTAATAGTTCTTAAGATATAGGTGTATCTCACTCAGAGCTCTGAATGACTCGGGTTTCAACCTTGGGGGCCTACAGCCCAGGTGAGCATAACAGCTACAGGTTATGGAGTGTGAGTTAGAACAAGGCCTACTTCTAGTTTCAGAAGATCCTTGGGAGGGAAGATCTCCTTGCTTACTAGAAGTTTAGACTTTATTAGCAGAACAAGCAGCATTTCTACATTGCTCTCAGGTTCATTTTGCCAGTGACAGACCTTGAATGGGAATTGACCGTTCTTGACCAAGAACACCCCTTAGGAGCACTGAAACAATGCCTGGGATAGATTATCGATTATATCTTTGCAAGTCACCTTCTCGCATAACACTGCTTATTTTTAATAGCCTTTTGCCTAGCACATACAGCATTCAAGCCTCTTCCATCTGAAAACTGTTACAATACAGGATTTCTAACTCTTCTCTAGGACGAAGAAGTGACCAAGACACTTTTATCTCATGTCAGCCTGCAAGTCTTATCTGAGCTGCTCTTCCTCCTTGTCTTGATTATGACCCAGAATTTGAACTTAAATTGCAGGTTAGTGCACAAAGATGGATGTTGTCTTTGCTTTTTGAATACCAAGAAACACCTGCGCTTTTTTTAGAGTTCAAAGCAGAACTCTTTGTTTCTGAAATATCTTAAAGTATAATAGTGGGAGACCTAACTTTCTCCATTTGTATTCCCATTCTCTTTCTTAAAGGAATTGTTCTGTAATTTGCTTCACCATGAAGGCACAAATTCATTGGAAGAATGTTGATAGCATGACAACTTCATGTTAGCAGGATGTATGCTCGCTCAGGTCCTGTGGGCCACACTGTTCTGACTTCACATTAATTCAGGCATTACAAAACCAAAAGCAAAAGGCCTGTAGAAGTTGTGTACCATGAACGTGCTTGTGTGTCCATGTCTCTAATCCAGGTCAAATGTATTGGTGACCTGTCATTTTCCAGATTTGGTACTAATGATCATTTAAATAATGCTTGAGGAAAACTTTTTTATCAGAATTATTTGATATTTTTCCTAGAAACCTTCATTGTAGGTTTCTTGGGATCTGAGGATGGCAGTTATTCTAACCAGCTGTGAGGAGGGATACTTACAGTAAAAAATTCACATCAAATGAGTAGATTTTTTTGAGGTCTGGAAATACTTTGAGTCCAGTATTGAAAATACCACTAAAAAAAAAGAGAAACGGAAAAAATTACATGTACTGGATCAGTGAACAACAACAGAATATGTATTTAAAGTGTTTGACGATGCAGGATGGTTATTTCATCCTCTCTATTGTCAGTCGATTCATTTATAATCAACTATCCAAAATAAAAGGATGCAAGAACAATTGAGAAAATTCAAAATAACAAATTTATGATAAATTATAGAATCTAAAAAATGGGAACACAGACTAATAAGACAGCTAAGCAGATCTGCAGAGGGAAGTAGCTTGTGAGATTTCACTTGAGAGTTGAAGGCTGCTTCCGCTAATAGTCTGGACCCCCAAATCCTCTACCTTTCATTGAGGTTAAGAGCTGATCATATCACTCTAAAAAGGGAAACTGTCTTAAAATGTGAATATGCTTAACACTCCTTCTTTCTCAACTCCTGTATAGTGGAAATAACTTAAGAAAACATCGTTCTCAATCTTTAAACTATTTTCCTGAAATCAAATTTTCTACTTTTTTTTTTTAATTATTGCTTTCACATCTGTAGGAGAAACATGGAAAAATCTTTCCTCCTTGCCCCAGCCCCCACCACACACAAAGTCCTTCCTCATGTCTTCCAAACATTATTCAAAATCAGAGAAGTTTCTTTAGAAATTCGTGGGAATTTTTCACAATTTCTTTCTGCCATAGATGTTATATGAAATCAGGTGTATATAGGTGGGCTTTTCACATTTGGCCAATAGGTATGCTTTAAAATCCTGTGTAAATATCTAGCAAAAAGATGAGTATGTATCTGTTGTGTCCTTTCTTCCCACTATTCCCTACAAAAATAGAGTATAACAGCACTTAACATAAGAAGAAACTAGCTGTGGAATTTTGCCGAGGCACATTAGTGTATTCTAGATATTTAATCGATAAGATAAATGGGAAAATTACTGATGAATTTGTGAATGTTTTCCTTTCTTACAAAAGTAGTAAAAGTTCCAACCCATACCCTATCTGGCTTTCTGTCATTAAAATAAAACAACAGGGAAAAACAAGGCAATCAGTTCCAAAATGAAATGCAAAGAAACAAAACTGCTGTAACGTAAGGAATCATATGTGAAATGTAAGCGCCAGGTTACAGGTGCTAAATACTTACAGGTATTTCAAAACTGGAAGGTTCTTAAATGCATCTGGATCTATGTAATCCAAGTTTCTAAGATTTCGAATTTCACTGTAAAAAGGAGAGGAACATTGATAATTAATATTTAATTACTTATCCCAACAGAAATCAGAAATGTTAAAATGAAATTTCAGGGACTTAACTCCTGCAACAAGCATTTTGTACTAGCCAGCACTAGGCCCAGACCACTATACGTTCTGAGCAATCTTACAGTGATGCAATATCACCTGGATAGATGCCATCCTGGAGACTGGCTACTTGAAGCAAGGGGGTAAGAAGCACCTGAGATTTGATTATGGATCCTTTATCTGCATGGTCCTAAAATCAAAACAAGTACCCTGTGTTAATGGCCATTACTTTGAACATGGTGAGAGTTTTGTGACAGCAAAGTTGAGTAAAAAGAAGAAAAGTTAAGTAAAACCTTCAGTATTTATATATAATAATCCTATCAAATTGCAACCACCTGTGTAGCTTATAATTTTATGTTCTATTTTCCTGGTTACTTTCTTCATGTGTCTAACAGTATTTTGGGCTAATTTTCCTGTCTCTTTTACACAATTTTTCAAAAAATGGCTCAGGTCACTTAAATTACCTTTGTTCTGAGACTTTAAATGGACACATTATTCACTGTATAGCCATATCCAGCAGTTCAGAGGATAGTGTACCTGTGCTATATAATGACACAAAACATAACTGTGGGCTTCATTCCTCACATCTTCTGTCCATGGTTAAGTCTTTAAATACTTCTACCCAGGCAACAGCTTGGTCTGCAAATGGCTTTTTAGTCTGCACATGTTGAAAAACCAGCCTGACCCTAATCACAGCTATGGCCATGATGGGTGCTTTCTATAGGTATGGAGGTGGGGCTGCTCCAGCCATCATGGTCATTGCCTGGAGTCATGACTCTTCCACATTTCTCTGAAATGTTTGTCTCTTTCCTTAATGTAATTTCCCTCAATCTTTCTCTGTTTTCTAGAACATTTCTTTCTTTTCTATCCACAACGACGGTTAGCACTGCCTGCACCAATCAGACTGTGCCAGAATTCCCTGTCTAGACTCAGTGGAGCTACCGAATTTTCATCTATTATTAAAAAAGCCACACATACCCTCCCCCATCACATTTCATGGCCTCTTTACTGTCTCCAGAAGAATACAGACATTTTTGCATGTTTTTTTCTATTTCTTTACCTTAAACCACCTCTGAACACTGGTCTTATAACACTACTGGAACAACACTCAGCCTTCCTTAATATAGAAACCATTTAGAAAGAATGGTGCCAGTCTTCCTCCTGATGCTAGCAGTGGATCAATAGGCTGAAGAAAGCACTTCTGTGTACATATATAGAGAAATCTGATGAAGATGACAGGTACAGGTGGCACAGTGGTGCAGGTTATGTGAATGATGTTCTAGTCATTAGTCAGTCCAAGAAGTGCTACCAGTGGACAGAAACTCAGTGGGCAGAAACCACTAATACTTAATTTACCATGGCCTAACAGTGCCAAGTTCTTATCTACACAATATAAGAATCAGAAAATCAGAGTTTAAGGCTAACTCTGCCACTGGAATTATTTTTACAGGATAAAATCAACCCAGACAAGTAGTCTAAGAAATAAAAGTGGGAAAAGAGACTGAAGACAGTAGATACCAGAAGACTTCAACCTCTCTGTACTGACAAAACAGTTCTGCTCCACCTTCAAGTCTTCCGTTTTTATTCTGTTTACTATAACACTGCAGGGAAATGAGGATTTACCTTTTACTTGCGTGTTAAAATGATATCATTAATAGCTATAGTACTGCTACTAAAGTCCTGCATTCAGATATTCTTCATGTCTGTTAGCTACTTTGAACTGTAGCTGTGTTTCTGTATTTAAAATAAATCCTCTCAGTATCAGTTTCTTGCTTCTTTCAAATAATTTTATTAGTTATGTAGCTATCACACTACCAGCAGTGGAACTTGCTCCGTAAACTTGAACTGACGTGTTTTTTCCATCACTTACTGCCTTCAAAAGGACTCATGAGCTCCCTGGCCTGATACTGTTCTATTGTGGACCAATCATATTCCAGGGAAAGACAGTCTTCAGATCAGCCTTCAACCTGGAAATGGATAATGCATTGGATTATTACAGAGTCATCAGGTTTTGGCTTGTTGCTATTCATAGTATTCTGCATAAATTACTTGGATGAGGGTGCTGGAAGTAAGAATTTGAAATCTGCAGATGGTACTAAAATTGAAAGAGCCAAATAATGTCATGAGATACAATTTTGGTTTATTAAGTAACTGGGCCATGAGAGGATATGTGCTGTTTAAAAAAAAGCCAAACCTAATTAATCTGTGAATAAAATATTTTAAACTGCCAGATGATACAGCACTGTAACGAGAGTAGAGGTCAAACCATGTGAGAAAGGGAATCAATATGATTCAACGGAACACTGGGGAAAGGTTTATGTCCTTGCTGTTCAATTTACTTGAATCAGTAATGCTAAGATTAGAAAAGAAATATGCTTTAATATATTCTGGGTTTATATTTGCATTTCATCCTACACTTTGTATTACAGAGGTGTCTTAAAGCCCAAAAGGAAGAAAAGGGCCTATTATGGAGCAGATAGACAGTCGCTCAGACGTCTCTGGTCAAAATAAATGAGAGAGAGGACAAGAGAGAGGTATAAAAAGGTAAAAGGTGAATTGACAAAAGTGAACGTTATGCTTAAGGAAAAAAATGAGGAGGAAAATCCAATATTTCCTTCTTCTAGTCCAGTCAAATGTGCCTCCTGCATTTGACTGGCCTGAATATGTGGCCTCCCATCTCATCTGCATGAAAAAGAGAAAGATCTTCAGTTCCATTAATGAACTGTACTTCTGTCCTTGTTTTAAACACTTAAACATCATTACTCTTATACTGCTGGAAGGAATTCCCCCGTACAATCACAAATTTAAAGGCTATCTAGTGCTCCATTGATAAAGGAGCCTATGAAGTTAAGCTGATAAGGAGAAAAGATATTTAATAGTTCTGAGGTCATCAATTAACAGGATACTGATACACAAACTGAATTTCACAATTTCTTTTACAGTAATCCATCATGAGTAACATACTCAAGGGTGCATAAATGTTATATGATACTAATTTTCAAATTGTAATCCAAAGAGTCCTGTGGTGTAAAGATTAATCCTGAAGGATCCATAAAGCTAAGAAGAGCAAGTTGATTAGCAGTAAATTCGTTAAGCAGGGTTTACACATTATCATTTAGCTTTTATGAATTCGTGAATTGAAAAGATTGAAACTCAGTAAATTAAAAAGTTAAGGTTCTTTGAAAAGCAGCTCTAGGAAAACTGTTAGTAGACTTAGCTGCCTAAAATGCAGATAAAGTCAAAGAGTATACTTAAAGTGTCTAGTAAGCTAGTTCCCAGATGTGTATATGATAATTGATTTTAACAATTGATTTTAACAATGCGATTTTGACACACTCTACAAACACACCTTAATCATAGTATACAGCAATGTAACAGTTCTGAGTCCTTCTGGGAATTAAGTGCTTTTAAGATATAAAAAGCCTAACACAGTTAGTAGGCATTTTTGTTCACCATTAATATAAGAAGACATAAGGGCCCTAAACAAACATTTCACTTTGCAGTCCTAACCAAAATTGCTTAGAGATGCTCATAAGAAAGAAAGAGGCTGCTACCTATCCACAAGATAACAGAATTATTGTGGATTATTTACAAAATTGTTCAAAGTTACTTTACAAACTATTTAACTTCTGCTCTATTTTTAGAAGTGCTTAAACCATTTAAAACTGGCTTATTTGCCCTTAAAGACAATTAATGTTTGAGAGTTGATGTTCTGGCACTCAGACTAGGAATGAAAAATGTACTAGGTTCACAATCAAACCACCATGTGACTGTCCATGAACAGCAACTCAGTTTTGCTTTTTAAAGAAAATATACAAAAAACGTTATCATGTCAAGAACAGGTATGCAGAGAAAGTGACTTAATGATATAAAGACATATGTAAGATTTACAAATAATTATGAACTGATGTTCAGTTACAAAGATATAACTATTTAGTTCCAAATCCAAATGAATCTAAAAATGAAACTAATAATAACTATTCAAATATTACTATAATTAATTAATTGAGACATATGTTTGCCAGGTAACTTCTAGAAAGATTAATATGCTCCTTAACATTCTATATGAATATAGTAACATTTTAAAAAGCACAAATATTTATATATTTAAGTGCATCCCAAGTTTCATTTACCAGATTTTTTTTCATATCTACCTTGCAATATTGACTCATCCTTGAGTTTGTTTAAGCCCAGTATTCAGAAACTGCAAATCTGGCCATAGAGTAGGAATATAATCATGTTGTCCTGATATACTTGCAAAGACAAAAGATATCCAGGTCAGAAATTCTAAAATGTTTTAAATAAGCTCTTTTTTTCTCTCTTATAATAACTTGAGGCCCCTCTCTACCATCTTAGACTTACTTTTCCTATAGCTTCCATGGCTTATTTCACTTCTACATCTACTTCTATGTTTTATTCTCCCCCTACAGACAAATTATGTTATTTCATCTGCGTGCGCCTGTCCAGCCTTTGCACCACTGGCACCAGAGAATGGGCTTAGGCTATTCCAACAATCTATTCCCTGCCTCCAGACTGCAGATTTTAACAAGGTTTCTCTGCACAACACTTATCCCTGTGTCCTGAATTCACTGCAGATATACAGCAGTCCCCCACAAATCTCTTCAGTCTTCCTCTCCAGTTGCTTCTCGTATATTTCCATCAAATCACTCCTTCTTTCTGCAGTGCTGTATCCCACGGCCTGGCATCACAAGCTGTCCAAGGGAGATGCAACCCTGGCCCAGAGGATGGTGGGACTGCCCTGGCCCTTGGCTCCATCTCACTGCAGAGATAGAGAGTGGTCCCCCACCAGCTCTCCAAATGACGTCACATACATGAGGGCAAGCCACTTGAACCATTGGCCGTGTTCCCAAATGCTGAGAGAGCTTTTTATGTGGTTGTATAAGAGGAGAATACTTTTCAAGTGAGGAGAAGAGAGTAGGGAGAGTTCAGAGGAGAGCGAGCAGAGACACAGAGAAGAGAGAAAAAGAAAAAATGAATTTTTCTGGGGTTCCTTTCACAGGAGTGTTTCCTTGAGAAACAAAGACCGAATTACAAAAGGTTTTTATTTAGTGTGATGCTACCAAGCTGCAGCTCTACTACTGAAACTACCACACAGAGATATTGACTGCTAATCAGACACTTTCACAATTACACCTAGAAAAAATAAGTACTTATGTAATTGTATGGGAAAGATAGTTCTAAATTTGTAAGTTAAGTTGGACTTACAGACATACTTAAAAAAGAAGAAACAAGAAACCATTGTGAGACCAATTTAACATAACTGGGGGAAAAAAACCGAATCAACAAAGTCTTGTCCCTTATTTACATATTCATAGAGTGGGACTTTTGCCATTACTTATAACTGAAATAAGATCTGGTTCATTAAAATACAGCATGTGGTCAGTATCCTTAGTTTGCAGAAGTTGCTCAGTACTTGAAAGGCATAGATTCATAAAAATATGACCTATGCTTAAAGAGAGCTGAGGTCTGGAAGGAAGAGAAAATCAGGACAGAGGTACCTGAAGGACCAAGAAAATGAATTGTTGAAGGTCAAGGCAGAAGCACACTACTGAGCTTGGCAGACAGGGACCATAACAAACACAGGTTGCCTGTTCACATAACACTTGACTCAAGCCAAAGCAATTAGTTCCTCCTTTCCACAAACACTAAATTTTCTCCTAAGAAGTTCTTATACACAGGGTTTCATTTTAAAAATATTTGTTTTTAAATATAAGTTTAAATTAGGGTAAAAAGATTATTTTAATTTACGTAAAACTGCACTTTAAAGTTCAATGAAAAACAAGCTGTAAGAATGGAACTCTGTGAAATGACTTTTCAAAACTATTAGAGTAACATCAAACTCCTTTAAAATACCTTGATATCTTAACCCAGTATTATTTTAGCAATAATACCTTGAAAATACTATGCAAATGGAAAACATTAATCAAATGTGTAACACAACATATAAATGTAGCCCCATATAGTTCTGCTGCTTGGAAAGTAAATCAAATCCAACAGTGATAAGTGTTAACAAATCAGGAATTATGGAAGCAATTCATAAAAATGATCAAATTTATAAATCGTTTTATATCACACGTTATATATAATCATTTAACTTACCAGATGCCTGGATATTCCCTGATTAAATCATACATGTTTTCCAAAGATCTTTTAAAAAGCTGGAAAGTGCTTTTGAGTGGTAGAGCCCCTCTTCATGGGCTATCTGCAAATGCTGGGGGTTGCCTATAACTTTTGTGAATTCTGATCTTTTGCCCTGGGTAGTATTTTTGACTCTTGTGCAGAAGAAAAAAAAACAAAACTATATCTTGTATGTCTGTGTACAGTTGCTTTTTCAGTAGTGCCTTGTGAGATATATAAAGGGTCCACATTACTACACCCCTTGTTATACCAGATCAGGAAGCAGTTTCACCATGCCCTTCCCACAGCCTGTGCCGTAGGTGATGTGAGTGTAGGTGCTCATGAGCTCTGCTGATCCCTGCCTAGGCCTGCAGCTTCCTGGTCATGGACAGCACATCCAGGCCTGGGGTCTGGTGGGGTGTGATAATCCAGTGGTTCTGGAGCCTTCTGGTGTGCCCTCCCTTCATGGGAGCCATGGCAGAGTCCTGCTTATGGCAAGGGGCACTGGCTGTCCTCCCAGGCAGGAATCTAAACGTGCTTTGGAGGCTGTTAGAGAATGGAAGAGGATGAGAAAAAAGGCTTCTACTCATATTCCTCATCACCCTCTAGGTGGCAGAAATTAGTGCAAATTAGGCAGTGTTACAGAGATATCACAAGAATGAGTGCTTTGGGAGGCACTGGCAACACCAGAGCTCCATCCACCGCTCTGTCAAATTGGTCACATATTTAAAAAGCGTGCATTTTGTGGAAGAGTTCTGTATATTCAAAGGCTTACATTATGTTACTCTTTGAAGAAAATTAATTTTGTGTTATGAATTCAGTCTCCACTTGGAATCTAATACAGAAACAACAGAAAACAGCTATCTCGCCAGCTGGCTCCTTTCTCCTTAATCTGTCCTCAAGAAGCTTTTGCATCCATATAAAATAAAAACAACAAGCTACTACCCTGCATATTGCATGGAAGAATCCTACAATGAAATGTGATGGCCCAAGAGCATTTTATCTTTAACTTTTAATAAAGTGAACCACAAAAGAAGTAGCACATGAGGAATTCATAGTGCATAGTGGCAAATGGTTTATTAATTGCTGATAAAAATGTGCTGCCAGTAAATGTTTCATTAAATGTTCATTTGTATTAAACAAGGAATTCTAAAGGCACAAAAACTGTGAAAAAGAACATGAACACAACAGATCTGGAAAAAACATCTACAGAAGAGGGAATGTGTTACAACCAAAGAAGATTACTGATATTACACCAAAGTCTTCCTCTGAAACTCTTTCAGGAATACTACTGGAGCATGTTATTGGACTGCAGGATCCTGCACTGTACTTCTAGCTGTGTCTGTCAGGTTCTCTTAGAGGAGTCACTTATACTTTCCAGCATTAGTTTCTATCTATCTACAGTAACAGGAATGATATTTTCTCCTGTAATTTTATTAGTCTTTCTGTTTCACACTGTGTAAAGGAAAAGGAAAAAAAAAAATCACATAAAACAGAGCAGTGTTAAGTTGAACATTTAATTCAATTTCTTTCTCTGAGTGAAGATTAAATAGATCTATGAAGTTTCTGATCACACAGCCTTAAAGGCCGGCAGTGATAGGTCTATATCTCCAGGAAAACAATTCTAGTGCTTATTTATGCCAGCCATACAAAAACACTTCCTACAGTCTGACATGAATTGCATATAATCTACTTTAATCTTATTATTACTTTATCAAACATCAGTGTGGAAAATGAGTGATAGTTTTCACCCCTTGCAACAACCTTAAAGTATGTATCTGCTTCTGGCATGTTTTCTTTCTGGACACAGAAGCCTTTCCTCCCTGACAATGTTTTCTGGATCCATGATGACCAACAGTGCTCTCCCATGGAGCCTCTGTGAACAGAAATCTTCTCTGAAGTATGACAAACTGTAGCTCATCCTGATGAGCTTTACAACAGTGGCATGCTTTCCATTCCCTCCTTCGGATCAGTTATGGAAACATGGAAGAGTACCAGATACAGGATGGATCCTATGAAGCTCTCTATTCAATACATTATATTTTCATTTTAACAGGGTCCTCCTGATGAATGACAGGAACTTTCTGGATGCAGGTGTCCTACTATTTCTGTAACTATCCTAGTGCATCATTTGGTGAGGAATATCAGAACAAAAAGGTATAAAAACACTTCTGAGAAGCCTTTTTCCATATTATTCCTATTCCATACAATAACCATATAAACACTCTTCATTTTATTAGTGCATTTTCAGAATGATTACTTATTATTCTTCATGTCTCCAGCTATTTTGCTCTGTGCTTTGGCCCTACTGATTTTATTTCCAGTGCTTATATTACTGTTTTACACTTACCTGCAGTAATTTGACAGAAGTAATTCTTAACTGCCATTTTATTTCAACTTGCCATCAATCTCATGATGTAGCCCCACGCATTTTTCACTATATTTACCTACATTTCTATGGGAGGATACAGAAGAGGAAGGAGACAAAAAAGATGTATGGAAAGAAAGCACAATAAAATTAGCTCAAAAAAAGAGACGGACTCATTCCACATTATGGAGAAAGGAAATGAGGAAAGGAATATTTAGCTATAGAGGAGACAGGAATGGCAACTCAGATATCATCGTGAATGTTATTTCCACACATCCCAAATTTATCTCATTGCTGTATTCATTTATTTAATTACAGTACTTACATGTGAGTGACTTTGCTTAAACTGTTGAAGGAATGGGCCTCCAGACTCTGAAGTGTTTCATCTATAGAGATGTAGCTAAACACCAACAAACAGAAAAATAAGCAGGTCTCAGACATTGGGAAGCCACTGCTAGTGCCCATCATACCACGTCATTTTTCCTCTCATTATTTTTCTCATCCACCTATCATGACACTGCCAGACACATGGACAATATCTGAGGGACACACTTTTAAAATCCTTTTAAGGATTTTGATTTTAACTGATGCTTTAGATGCACATTATACTGCAGAATACAGTGAAACCAAAACAACACGCAACAGTGCTAAGTAGCAGCAAAAGCAGACACCAGTATTTCACAGTTCAGTATTATATTTCTTCCCTTTTTTCCCACTTAAGATCACCTTCGATATCTCCAGGGGGAATCTAGGCCTCAGGAAAATTGGCACATTTCTCTATATCAAAAAATTAAAAAAGGAAGGAAAGAAACAGAGATGATCCTTGGGCCACCACTGCAACAACTGTTGCAGTTTCTGTAGAGGGAGAGGTCATCAGGGCAACCGGTGCTTTGATTGCTGAGTTAAAAAATGTGCTAAAACATGAATTTCGAGAGAAACTCTAGCCATACAGTGAGTGTCACAGAGGATGTTAGGAGTAATATGGCTCAGAAAGCAAGCCAGACAGCAAGCTTAAGAAATATTTATTTGCACACAGTTCAGACTGCTTTGCATTTGTACTAATGGTGATCTCTGTGATGAGAAATGTGATGAGAAAATAGCTCTACAGAGTCTCTTCACCATCATTAGGAGAATGATAACATTGTAACTACTGTTAACACGCTTGACCAATCTGCAAATGACTAATAGCACTAACTGGATGGGAATTTATGTCTTTTCCATACTGGAGCTAAAAGCATATTACCTGGATTAATTTTAACTCTTTAACTGTGAGATTTATTTTGTGTTGGTCACTTTGGAGATGTATTCAACTGTCTTTGAAAAGACACCAGAAAAGTAACAGGTAGAGATTGCATGACTATCAGATTCTCTTTCTAGAGTAATATTGTTTTTCCAAAGCTATTAGCCTCTTCCAAAAGGTAGGAAGATAATAAAAGAGGAATACACTAAAAAAGTATTCCAGTCAGTACCTCTGTGATGGAGTGTTGCAGAGTTAGATGTTTATGTGAGATGTTTTAATTTTGTTCTCCTGTAAATAATTGTTTGTTGACTAGGAAATTGGGGATTCAGTCTTGAAAGAAGAGTAGCTTTTTAATTCTAACAGACCCTACATTTTAACATACCAAAAGGTAGGTTATGCTAATGGCATATTATAAAACATAAAGTTGCTATATGTAGCAAACAGATATATATAAATCAGTTTGACAGAAAATGAAGTTAAAACCAGATAATGAACAGAGATGGCATCCTCATGCCAGGGCTAGAAAGGAGGAGAGCACTTTTTTTGTGTTCTGTAGTCAGAATGAGTCACCTCACATCAGACAGGCAGGTGCTTTTCTCTCACATATGAGAAGAGGATTCTCTCTCCCTCCCTCACCCCTACAGCCATCATGTGCTTTCCCACCATGATTCATGTCACATTTTTACTATTTACTGCCTGGCTTGGACCTGAATGAGGTATAGTTTTATATTTTTCAAGCATGGGATGCAGTGGGAAGGAAATAGCTTATTTTCTTCATGTGTTGACCTCTGCTCTTCTGCTTCATAAACATACATATTTGTGTAAATTAATTAAACCACACCATCACTGATGGCAGGGAAATGAGTGGTTCTGTTTGCTTTAGGGTCATGTAGATAAACACCCAAACCCCACGCAAACACACTCAGAATCTCCTCTGAGATGGGGATGTCAAACAGAGACATGTATTAATGGCACATAAACACTTACTTCTAAGTATTCAGAGTGCCTCCAAAAACCTGTGGGCTCTGCCTCTTGAACACATAATATCACACATTAAATGTAAGCAATAAAAATCATAGTAATCAGAACTGGAAGGAGTTGCATCAGAAGAAGAGAGAAAGCATGTTTAAATTCCCACTTTGAATGCATGTTACTATTCAGCACCTCCTCTGCCTACCAGCTGTGTTTAATTTGCAAGATTTCAAAATGCCTTCAACACCCATCATGAATGCATTGATAGCTTAAACACCAAATGCACAATTTCACAGAACGTCTATTTGCAGACAACACTTTAATCACCATCGCCCATTCAGAAAGAGCCTGAGAGCACAGGATTTGTCAGATGGAGCAGCCACAAGGCCCCCTCCCAGCCCTTATTTTCTTCATTCTTCCTCCCTCCACCTTTTTTGCTTATTTCCAGCCTCAGCATTCCCTGTGTTGCAGGAAAATGGTGCATGGGGGAAAATGTGCTTTGCCTGGGGCTGCTGGTGGAGAGCACTGTGGGATGCAACTTTGTGTGGAGAGGCGGTGGAAAAACACTTCGGGGAGCTACAGGTCAAGTGTCTGTGAGGTACTCATTAATGTGACCCCAAAGCACCACCCTAAGCCCAGGAAAAATGTTCCTTATCCTCGCCCTTAAAAATACTGAATGTCCAATATGTCCTTAATTCAGTAGGAAACAGCAGGTGAAGCCCTTCTAACCAAAATTTAATGTATTTGCATCTTTAAGAATGTAAACCAGAAATGTCTCTTGCATTTGAATATCCTATAAAACCATTTTGTATTCAGTAATGCCTTTCTGACAGGAGTTAGCTTTGCAGTTGAGCATGTAATTAAAGTGCTTTTTCTTTCATTCCTGTGGAAAAGCAGCGCAGGGAAACAGTCTCTACTTCTGGCTATCAAGAGTACATATATATGCTTTCATTTATGAGTAGCTGTAAAATTTTTGTTTGAACTAAGTTCATAAAGAGGACAACTACATTTTCTATTCAGTACAGAGGAAAAAAGTGTTTATTTGTGGAAATCGTATAGTAGAAACCCTATAGTAAAATAAAGTGCTGTACTTGGAAAGTAAACACAATCTATATCACCCTATTGAAACTTCAGAACATTTTCTAGGTGAATTTATAAAACCAGGAATGATCTGGTAATTTTCATTGCTGATGGAAATTATGGGTTGGGAGAAGCAAATGAAATGTGTTACCTTAGAGGCCAAGACATAAACATACGAGTTGTAGTTAAAATACAGGTACTGGTTCCTTAACCTGAAGTTCATATCAAGAAATTGGGAGTTAATGTTTTATGGTAGTAGTAACGCTATAAGAAGTATCCAGACAGGCACTGACACTATTCAAATTTAAACTGCTGGTTTTGGAGGTTTTGGAGCATATTTAGAGAAAGGTTCCCTAAATTTTTCAGATGAACACCTGTTCTTTTACAAATTCATAAATATTACAATTTTAAAGATTTAAAATCTGAAAAGCCTCTAGGCAATGTACTAGGTGTCACTGAAAGACAAAGAAGAGTTGGCATCCTTTTACATTGAATCCAATTCTGTTCTAAACAAAGTTTATCATGTTTATATCTGATATTGTACATCATATGAGGGATATTCCCTTTCTCCTTCCCCCCCCCCCCAAAAAAACCCCAACAAAACAATAAAGCATCTATCTGATTAAAGTGAGATGGTAAATGAGGCTGTAGATATTCAAGAACAATTACTTGTAAGGATTTTAGAAAGTCATTACTTCAACACACCTGAATGAAACTATAAAATATAGTTAGGCAGACCACATTCCTCCAAAGTCTTTTTTCACGAATTTTTAAATGGTGGTCCATCTCAGCTATTCAGTCAAAGCTCATATAGATTTGAGACTTGCAAGGAACATCAAGGGCAAGAAGAATTCCTATTGCTACATTAGTAATAAAAGGCTGAACAAGAAAAAAGTGGGCCTTGCCGAATGGGGTGGTTTATTTAGTTAACATTGGCCACAGATAAAGCTGAGCAGCAGACTGATAAAAACCTGAGTGTTCTGGTTGGATCTTAAAGTTGGCCCAACTTTGAACATGGATTAAAGGCCTCCTGAAGTCCCTCCAAATCACATGGCTCTGATTCTAGGGAGTGAACTGGGAAATGACAGAGAAATTCCCTGCATCAAATAGTCATGGACAGGATCAAAGATTATGGGAGGAATACATTCCTCAATATTTTGAGGAATGTATTCAGTGCAGGTAGCTCAGTGTGCAGCTGCAGGGCCGGCCAGCTGCAGACTGAGCTCTGTCTGGTGGGATCCTGAAGCAAGAGGCCGTGGAGTGCCATCCCTTTGCACAACAAAGGACACAGGGACCTGTGGTGCCAGCCAGGGCACCTGACACAGCAGAGGCACAGCAGGAGACATGACCCCAGACAGTGAGGGTATAAGAGCTCAGGGATTTCTTTGTTTGGGGTCTCTCATTGGAGCCGCCCAGTTCAAGCTGTTATTTTGTTGTTTAGTTATTGGTTTAGTTATTGGTTTTTAGTTGTTGATGTGAGGTCCCTCTCACAAACACTAATATTTTGATGAAAGTCCACCTCTAGTCTGGAAGTGCCACATGGTCTCCAATGAGATGAGTTACAAATCATGCTGGCTGCTGCAAACAAATATTTAGCCAGGACCAGGAATTGAATATGTTAATTTTTTTATGAGTGAAAAAATTTCCCATAATTTGCAGACTGAAAAAAAAGTTTTATAGTCTCATTTATCACACTGACTTCAATAAAGGTGTAGTCTTATCCATGTGTGCCTAGAATGCCTTCCTATAGTTGATTTGGGTTGTTAAACAACAAAATTATTACCCACAGTTCTAAAATGTAAGGTAAAATGAGGTAACAAAGGTGTAAGAATATTTTCTTTTCACAAGTTTTTAGAAGACAGAATTTCAGAGAAGGAGAGTGATTTTTAATAAAATAGCTAAAAAACAATATCAGAAACAGAACTTACATCCTAGAGATGTTGGGGAGATTGGAAAAAGCATCACTTGGAATTGTTCTTAGGTGAGTCTCCATAAACCTCCTAGAGGAACAAAAGTTTGACAGTTAATATCCTTTGGGAAGTACAATTTAACATTAAAAAGTCCTGCACAACTTCAGCTCTTCTCCAATATTTTTATTCTTATCTTTCCTTTTCCCAGTGTTGCCTTCTTTGCTTCATTTCTCCTCCTGTTTCATTATGTGACTTGCTTTGTGTGGTGTGTTCCCTCAATCTGAATCACAACCTTCTGCATCATCTCTGCTAGGAACTCAGGGGTGATGATGGACCTCCCAAAACTCCAGAGCATGGCCAGCAAATGTATTTTCTCATTGAAGGCAGTGAGAGAAGAAGCATTTTTATAATCATTTCAGGCTCTACAAAGATATCCCATCCCTCATCCTCAGCAAGAAATTCAGGTATACCAGCCAAAATTGAATTGGAGCAATTGCATACTACTTCCATAGAATTCTCCATTTTCTTTGTAATAAATGTGACATTCTTCCTCCCTAAACTGCTGATGTGGGAGTGGCATGTACCTTCCCCATCTGCAGGAGATTTCAGAAAAGCAGGAAATATTTAAGGGAGATAGTTATCAACAACCAAGTTCTTAACAGAATGAATCTCCAGCAGACTGAGTACTCTAAAAAAACAAGGACAAAATGCTTTAGAAAATCAGCCTATGATATCTGTTGAATTTACAGTCACAACCTGTCTTTGCTGGATTAGGTAATCTTTGGTTTTCCAGTATAGTTTGGGAATGCACTTACATAATTTCTAGTCAATGAATAGTCTGAAGAACAATCAAGAACAAATTACAAACTTTTCCCATAGCAGCTGTTTAACAACAGCTCAAGAGAAAGGAAATAAACGAATCACAATGATGCCCTAATTCTGTTTCCTGCTTCATAATGTGAAGTATCTGATTACTATAATTTTATTCGATTCTGGAACTTGCATACAAGAAATAAAATTATCTGTAGAAATTCTTAAAACTTTCGTCTTGAATAAAAATATAAATTAAGGGAATGTACTTTCCTATAATCCCAAGGGAAGTCTCTACTTCCCAAGTTTACCTCCCCTACTCCATATACTTGTTATAAGAATGAGTAAGAAGAATAGAAAGACTTCTACTTTTCCAACAGTTGACTGATGTTTCTCCCGACCTCAATACACCTGGCTCCAACCAAGTCCCTGATCAGGGGAATGTCAATTGTCCATTGCTTACTCCCCTGCACTCATAGCACTGTGACACCCATATCAGTGCTCTCCCATCCTTTTCTATCCTCCTTTTCATACTATTGCTTCCTTCTATTATCACAGTCCTAGACAAAAAAATTGTAGAAAACAGCTGCTTAGTCCAGCACAGCCTGCTGATCTTACTGTTCTGTTTCAACATCTGTCTGTATTTCCAGGCCTTTGAGGACGCTGACAGTGATGACCATGGACGTTCTGGTTCAGACAGGTTTTAATGAGTCTTAAAGTGGAACAGAGACAATGAGGACCTTGACAGGTAGGAGAAATGGGCCAACTGGAACCTTACACAGTTCAACAAGTAGAAAGTGCAAAATCCTCCACCTGGGGAGGATCAGCTAGGGCCCAGCACATGCTGGGGGTCAGCCATCTGGAAAGCAGCTTTGATGACAAGAACATGGGGTCCTGGTGGACACCAAGTTAAACATCAGCCAGCAACATTCCCTTGCTGCAAATAAGTCTAGTGGTATCCTGGGTGCATTAGGAGGAAAAGGCAGTTCTAAGGCTTTCACATGGGACTGTTAGAACTAAAAACCCAAGAAAAATATAGTTTAAGTCACTTCTGACTATCCAAGCTCACTTCTAACCTCTCTTATCCTTTCTGGTCCTCTGTTCACCTACAAAATGCTGACTCACACATAATTTACTCCCCATTTGCAACTATTACAGACACTAGTACTTAACCTATCACTTAAACGTCATTCAATTTTCTAGAAAAAGAAGAATTTAAACAACATCCTAAGTCTCTTCTTGACCTCCTTCCCTTATGTCAGACATTCATACCACTTTAAGAATGAATGGAATCAGGCCTGTCATTCATGAACTACATCAAATGAGCTCACATTAACCTTTTATTAACATATTTGAAATTTATGCTTCCTATCAGGAAAACCTGGAAATTCTGGATAATATTTATTAATCAATTATATCAAATTATTTGTATTATGAAATGATAAAGAAGCATATCCTCTAAGGTTATATTTTAACTGAATGGCTGGGAAATTTAATATATGATCTGGAAGTGGGAGTATTGCATTTCTTCCTATCTATCTGCTACAGTTTAAAGATATACCAGCATTCTGCAAATATGACAGAAAACCCATATGGGTTACAGGATGTGTTTATGAACAGATTTAAAAAGAATAAAGAGAGACAATAAAGTAGAGGCAGGAGAAGAGAAGAAATAGCCTATTATATGACAAAAACTTGGTTCTGTGGGGAAGCAGTATCAGAGATTGTCAGCAAAGCTAAAAGGCTCCAAATTCATGTAACACACCTACTACATAAACAAACCACTGAGCAGTGGCATGTGGCACATATTGACTAATTGGTGTTTATTAGAGCTGTCATTCCTCAAATACTTACTCTCTTAACAGATTGCTCCTTGAGTTCAAAGTGTTAGTGATTATGCAGACCATAAAAGAAATTCTGTATGCTAATTTCATTTTTTCTGAGAAAATTATAACAAGCAATGACCTTCCAGATTTTATATAGGAGAAATAACCATGATAGCTAAGCTAATGGCTATGCAAACAGCTATTGACACATTAGTTTCTAGGTTTTTATATTCAAATAAATCCAGCACTACTAAACAAACAAAAATTTTTTTAACATTTATTCCCAAATAAATGCATTGTCGTCTTTCAGTGATGCAGAAATAGCTATAAAAAGGCATTTTACGCAGTGAAATGCATCCTAAGCATACCAGAAGATGATTACCACCTAGTGTCCAATGCTAGTATTACCAATGTGGTAGGAATGAGACTCACACAGCAAAGTAACTCTGAAAGTAAGGAATCGCTTCTGAATATGCTAGAATACTACCTGATTGCTTTCCTACAATTAACTAGCAGTCCAACAGAATAACATAAAATATACATCAAAACTGGCCCAGCCCTAAGACATTAAAGAAATACTTAATCCTTACAAAATGAAAGTATGTAGGTCAGTGTTTGGTACAATTCTGTACTGAAATTAAGTTCTTAGTGCTAATGTATCCTCTTCCTACAAATTGAGGTACATATGGACACTGTCAGACTGTCAGAGCTAATTGATAGCAAAACAGAAGTTTGCTAATTTATAGCAAACAGAAAATACCAAACCAGAATGTTGAAGCTTATCCTTGCTCAGTTTGTGATCACTCACTGCTTCTGACTGGATTTGAGTGAAAAAAAAATGACTTTACAGGAAGCAATGACCATACTGAATGTTACTTTCCATTCACTAGCAAAACAGTAGGCTGCTAATGTCGTGGCCTGCCTAGTGGATGAGGGAAAGGCTGTGGATACAGTCTATCTGGACTTCAGTGAAGCCTTTCACACTGTCTCTTACATCATTCTCCTGGAAAAGCTGGCAGCCCATGGCTTGGACAGCTACGTTCTTCACTGGGTTAAAACCTGACTGGATGGCCGGGCCCAGGGAGCGGTGGTGAATGGAGTTACATCCACTTGGTAGCTGGTCAGTAGTGGGGTTCCCCAATGGTCAATACTGGGGCCAGTCCTCTTTAGTATCTTTACTGATGATGTAGACAAGGGGATGGCACACACCCTCAGTGAGCTTGCAGATGACACTAAGTGGGAGTGTTGATCTGCTGGAGGGTCAGAAGGCTCTGTAGAGGGATCTGGACAGGCTGGATTGATGGACCAAGGCCAGTTGTCCATGGTTGAACAAGATGAAGTGCTGAGTCCTGCACTTGGGACACAACAACCCCAGGCAGTGCTCCAGGCTTGGGGCAGTGTCCCGGTCCTGGGGGTGCCGGTCCATAGCGCTGAACATGGGCCAGCAGCGCACCCAGGTGGCCAAGGCGGCAATGACAGCCTGGCTTGTACCAGTGTGGCCAGCAGGACTAGGGAAGGGATCATCCCTCTCTGTACTCGGCACTGGTGAGGCTGCACCGCAAATCCTGTGTCCGGCTCTGGGCTCCTCACTGCAAGAAAGACATTGAGGTGCTGGATCGTGTCCAGAGTAGGCCAACGAAGCTGGTGAAGGGTCTGGAGAACAAGTCTCATGAGGAGCTCCTGAGGGAGCTGGGGTTGTTATCCTGGAGAAAAGGAGGCTCAGGGGAGACCTTATTGCTCTCTACAACTACCTGAGAGGAGGTTGTTGAAAGGTTTTCCCAGGTAACAAGAGATAGGACAAATGAAATTATTTTAGAAGTAGCCTATGACATCTTGAAGCCAGGGACAAATACTATCAAAAAATACCTCAAAAGGAAATCCTTTTAAGAGCAGAGGAATGACTGTACTTGGTGACACCAAAGGTCCACCTAGTCCACTATCTTGTTTCTGGTAGAGTCCATTGGCAGATGCTGAGAGGAGAGTATAAGAAAAAGAGAAGTGGATATTATACTTCCCACTATTATTCTCCTAACCTTTCACAGTAAGGTTAATGAGCTAGATGTTCTTGTCCCTATGCAGAAACAACTATTTTCATGTTTTCCTAGAATGGTTTTGTTTATGAGAGCTTTCAGCAATGGTGTCTTCCCAAGTAGTCTTTTCCCCTTCACTCTCTTCCTGATGCTTTTTTTTTTTTCCTAAAAACCCCAAAGTATTTCTAGCTGCTGTAGAATGGAATTAGCAAAGATTCCACCACTCAGTTCAATAGATTTAATGGAGGTATAGAAGTGAGGTGACTTTTCATCTAAATAAGAAACAATTATTATATTAGGCTACAGCACTGATATTAAGAACATGCAAATATCTGTGTTGATTGACATGAAGGACTCATTTTGTGAAGTACTCCATATCTGAGAGGGACAGATAGACTGGAAGGGTAAAAATAGGCTACGTACA